GGTGAGAGCATCCAGCGCTGGCTCACACAGGCGGGTAGCTCCATCACACAGTGCCTTGCTACCTTTGGATTTTCAAATGACGAATGTGGGATGTTCCAACTCCGCGGCAATTGCCGTCGCGCAGCCTGGGCTAAACAGCACACTCCTCGTCCAGTAGGTGACACTCAACTCAACACGGTGACTGCTCTTTTGACCACTGGTTTAAGGGGCACCCAGCCACCCCGCAACTGACTACCACACACACCCCTACACTTTCCATCTCAACAGACCATCCCACATGACCCAATAACCCGGTACATTGAGACAGAATCACACTCCTTCCCTCTCAGAATCTTGCTCCACACAAGCCACAGCCGAGCATCTGAGCCAAATCACAAACAAACATTTTCATCTCCCATCACTAAAAAGAGGACTGCCACAACTCCCTTCACCTCACAACTCCGCTATCACACAACAAACACAACGCCTCGATTCGTCCCGCCCGACCCAATCCATCCTTCCCACCTCGACTGCAGAGCCCAACAACCAGCATCACGGGCAGCGTCCTTTCACCAACCACAGCAGCCATCTGCCTACGGCAACCGCTCGCCCTTTCCCGGATTGCGCCGTGAACACCACCTCCACAATCAAGCTGCGTCGCTAGCCACACAGCACCTTCAAAATTCGTCGTCATCCCCAGACCAACCCAGCTCCCACCGCTCCAACACCTGGACCGGCAGCTTGTCGCCTGCATCAGGTTCCGCCAACCCCAGCATCCGGGCCGACCGGCCCAACCCGCCAACTACGAACCACCTTGACTGACACCATTGCCTCTGCCACCATTCAGGATGTCTTCAGCATCCTTACCCAAACACAAAGTAAGTCCAATCCTCATGTTCCTCTGCGTGGTTTGATGTTCCCCGCCCCCTTGCCAGGCCCACCCGGCTGGCCCACAACTGAAAGAGTACGGTACAACAGGCTGTCCTGTCGACATCACAGCAAACTGGACTTTGGACGAACTTGACGCTGCCGTGCAGTACGGCGCCCATCCATCCGCCGAAGCCGCCGAAGCCGCCCAGGCATGCCGTACCGAAGCCCTGGAAAAAGTCGATCAAGGTTTTGTCAAGCTCATGCCATGGAAAACGCTCCGTGCCAACATTGCCAAAGGTCTCCTGACACACACCAAAATCAGTCCCATTGCGGCGATCCCGCACAAGAGCCGCCTCTTTCGAATGATTTTGCGCGACAGCAGAACCATTCAAAAATTGGGACGGTGGAAATCGCAAACATTCATGGATTACATCCACGATCAAATAAGCGCTTTCTCCGCCGGGGTCTCCATCAAAATGGCCAACCCCATCCCTTTTCGATGCATCGTGGGTCCCACCCTCACACACTCAGTGGCCTAGCCATCCCAGCACACTCAGCACCGCTTTCACATTATTACAAACCACACAAATCATCCCACACTCTCTACCTTGTGCGGCCGAGCATCCTTGCCCCTCTATGGCACAGATCGGCAAGGCACTCTGCCCACAGCGGATGGGTCACCATGGGAGCAAGTCTCAGGCACACATGGTAGCTTAGCATAAACACTAAGCACCAAGTTTACGCCCAGACAGTGCCACCCACTAGCTAGCACAACGTAGAATCGTAGTCGTTGCCATTGCAGATCTGTTCTGGAAGAGGGTTCTGCATGGACTGGGCTGTGCTCCAGGTTGCCAGCTTGCTCACCTGGATCACAGTCCCTGTGCATGCTAGGCCTGCATCCAGTCCCACTTCATTAGTGACTCAACCAGTCACAGACCTTCTCAGCCATTCTTTTCTCGATCCTTTGCCGCAACAACCAAGTGAAGGTTGTGACAGACAAAGAGCCGAGCGAATGAGCCACAGATTTGCAATGAAACTTGGATTGTGCGCCTTCTAACTTTTGTCTTCCCACCCATGCCACCCTGGGGAGCAAGTCTCAGGCACACATGGTAGCTTAGCATAAACACTAAGCACTAAGCACCTAGCTTAGCATAAACACTAAGCACCAAGTTTACGCCCAGACAGTGCCCACCCACTAGCTAGCACAACGTAGAATCGTAGTCGTTGCCCATTGCAGATCTGTTCTGGAAGAGGGTTCTGCATGGACTGGGCTGTGCTCCAGTTGCCAGCTTGCTCACCTGGATCACAGACTTTGTAATGGGCCAGTCATGCACCGTGTTCTGCTGGGCTATGAGATTCTTTGAGAGGTTCAGTACTGATGGGATTGACCGTAAGTTTGGTTCATGGGCTTCTGCCTCCAATGCTCCATTGATTCCCGGACTATCCTAACGGCCCCAGAGATGGGTCGAGATCTGCTTCTTCGTCTATTTGCTAGGTTCGTACCCTCTCTGGATACCATACTTTTTTGCTGGTGTGGTGATTGAAGTTTTCCTTAGTAAAGCTAGAGGACACATCCTGCTTTTCCAAAATCAGTCTTGTGTCACACTGAGGAACAAGGCGCCACAGCCCCCCAACATGACGGAAGAAGAACGAACATCATGATTGTTTCCAAAACAAAGGCTCACGTGGCCAATGTCAAGAATGACAATGCACGAATTCAGGCAGCATCAGCTCCTGGCTCACCGATCGACGGCTCAATCTTAGTCAAACTGGCATACGCTACATACATCAACTTGCCATGGCAATGACCTTCTACGGAACTACTCGTCTGGTGGGCACGCACATTGGCTCAACAAACAACACCGAGTGCTCGAGTTCCGCATGATCAGCATGAGTTTTAAGTTTCTGCCAGCTACGATTGTGCCGGTGCCTTCATGGGCGACCTATCGAGGAAGCTCACCAAAGACGTCATCTGCTCCGAGTTCCAAAATGAAACCTGCAACTGCAAGCCAGGAAACAAGAAAGACGGTCAATGCCGATTTGACGACCGCTGTAGAAATAAACTGGCCATATACTGCATCAAATGCATTAACTTGGGCAAAGAATATGTTGGGGCAACTCAACGAAACGTCAAAGAACGAACATACCAACACTTCACAGATGTCATGCGTCTCCTCTACGGAAAATGCAAGTCAGATTCATATGCAAGACACTTCGCCAACGAATTCAAAAACTTCGCATCTCCTTCACCATTCCGACTTAACGGCGACATTCAAAGGAACAGCATCGAAATTAGCATCCTATGGCAAGGCAACCCCATCAGCACTGTCAAAACCTTCGGGACACGACACTGCAGCCTATGCAACAGGGAGCGACTCGAGATACTGAAACGATCCAGAGAATCGCCAGAAAACCTGATCAACTCCTGCAACGAAATATACGGAGCATGCCGACATAAACCTCGATTTCATAAGTACCACAATAGCCCAAGCACTGATGATTCCCAAGGGGGATGAAAAAGTCGAACAACCGAAAAGAGTAAAGCCTGTGTTTTGGCGATTCGGCAGCTTGTGCTGATCAAGAGTAAAACTACTTAATTCAGTCACTTTTTGCTAAAATCGTATGCCTTTAGAATTGTTGGTACACAGAGAAGAGTTGTTGTGCTTGTGCATGGGCAGAGACTTTACCGGCCTCTTCCACCCCCCCTGGATACCTGCCACGGCCTCTTCCAAGCCCTCACGTTGACTGGCTGTTATTTATAACTACGTACGAGCCTCGTCTGCCGACACGGGCTTATAACATTGTTACATCTCAAGATCCACGGCCCGATCATCGTGTTGAGTTCGTGTTGTTCTGCCTCATTTAAAACCCACCGCACGCGAAAAGAACGGAAGCAGCTCCAGCATCCAAACAAAGCACCATTGACGCGCCGTCGCTTGTCGTGGTTGCTTTGTTCGTGGAAGAGGCAGGAGGACTCATGGTCGCGTCCATCGAGCGAGCGATTGCTCCGTAAACGGGAGGACACTAGCTGCCATGGTGGTGTCATGTACCCGGACCAGCAGACAAACAAACACTGCTTCTCACAAATCGTGCTGGTCAGAAAGAATGACTCCAAAAAGGGGGAATCTCGATTGTGATTGCCTCTCATGCGAGGGTTCACTGCATGGCGGGCAAGCATCGGTGGTGGGGATCGCAGGGAGCACGGGGCAAAAACGGTGGGCTTCACTATTGTGGGAGTAAAGTTGGTCGATCTGGATCCGAATCAAATCAAGGATGGGGATACTGGAAGGACCTGATCCTCCAAGCACGGTTTCAACATCCTACTAGCTAGCTAGTACTCGAGTTTGTACTTGGTACCAGGTACTACCGTATGCATTGAGTAATCAAGTTGATCATGCCTGTCGTCTTGAACCTTTCTTTTGGAGTCGAGTCCAGGTTGGGCATGTCGTTCTTTGCGTCAAGCCATTCTTAATTAATTGATTTGAGGCAGAGGCAGGACAAAGACAACGACAACATACATGACACCTTACGGTTCGCTTCAAGCTTCTTTTTGGAGTTGGCCTTGTTGAAGTTTGAAGCTTGCACAGGTACTTGCAGACCGCTTTTGAAGCGTAGTTGAGGTAAACCTAAGGAGAGCAAATGTTTTCATCGAATATTTGGTTCAAGCACACGACTGTGTTTACCGAGTCTACCTGAACACTACAGCTAATCGGGGAGCCAACGAGCCAGCACAAACTCCCATCATTTTGCACCAAAACTATACTTCGTACCAGTAGCGGTGTTCGCTCGTGAAAGAGACGCGAGTGACGCAGTCTTCTAGCTAGCTCTAGTAGGCCTATTCATAAGATGCCTCGTCCAAGAGGCACTACACTCTGAGTACCGTATTATTGCCATCGTTCTCTGCGTTTTCTCGAGTAGAAGCAGCTGCAGTGTGCTGAAAGCACCATCCATTCACACTACGACAAAAATAATGCACAGTACCTGGTACTGGAATCACATCGTTTATTGGCCCTCTTGAAGGAGGGACTCGAGTGGCTTTCTGGCGTACATTTGGCAGGTACCGGTAGAGGAGGCTTCTTCCAAACCTGGTTCTGCGGACCTAGACCGCCATGCAGCAAAGGCGCAAAGAAAAATACAAGTGAGGAACGCCATGCAGCCATCAATCGAAACAAAGGAAAACCTGGTTCTGCAAAACACTCTTTCTTCTTCAAAGCGCACATTTTTTGATCTTTCAACCTCGACAAAGACATCAGCCATTACAACCAAGCAGGAAACAATGAAGTTCCATTCCTCTATCCTCGAGGCTCTCAACCACCATGCCTTGGAGATTCCCGACAAAGTTGTTTTCACGTGGGTCAACAGCAAGTGTGAGGAACAGAACAAGTTGACGTTCAAGCAGCTGGAAGACCAGTCCAACGCTGTGGCGGCTCGCCTCCTCAAGCTGGGATGCCAAAAGGGCGACCGTGTCATGATTGCCTATCCCTTTGGCCTCGAGTTCTTGGCTGGCATGTTTGGTGCCATGAAGATTGGAGTCATCCCCTGCTCCATTTATCCACCCAATCCCAACCAGCTCAAGACTGATATGCCAAAGTTCCGTGGTTTTGCGGCCGATGCTGGAGCCAAGTATGCTCTTACCACCACGACTTTTGCTGTTGGGATGACTGCTGCCAGTGTCCTCTACAAGACTGGTGTTACTTGGATTGGAACTGATAAACTCTTCATCAAGAAGAGCAACACAAACAAGCCTAAACAGTACGAGAGATTTGTGGGAGAGCCAGGAGGCATCTGCTTTATCCAGTACACATCTGGTAGTACCGGACACCCCAAAGGAGTCATGATCAGTCACAACAACCTCGTGGAAGACATTTGGGCCATTTCACGGGTACTAGGCACAAATGCTGTGGGAGCCTTGTGGCTACCACAATATCATGGTAAGCAACCTTTTGTGTGCCTGCCTGCTCGCGGAGAAAAAGAAATTGGCAGTCTCCCTGACTTCCAATATCTGACTCTTTCCCTTCTCAGACATGGGACTTGTGTCGGGATTTATGAGTGCTATCTATGCCGGAGTTCATGTCATCATGGCATCGCCTCTCGACTTTATCATGAGGCCACTGCTGTGGACTGATATGGTAGAGACCTACCAAGCCACTCATACTTCTGCTCCCAACTTTGCCTATGCATTGCTACTGAAACGGTTGAAACAGGCCAAAAGAAATGCCAACTGGAGTCATGTCACACATGCTATGTTTGCTGCGGAACCCACCCAGAGACATGTAGTGGAGGAGTTGGCACAAACCCTTTCTATCAGACGAGAACATGTGTACAACCTCTATGGTCTGGCTGAGGCTGTTGTTTTTCTCACAGGAGGACCTGCCTACCCAGATACTAGTGGGGTTGTTTGCTGTGGCCCCGTAGACTCCCCATCTGTCAAGCTTCGAATTGTCCAGGATGGAAAGGAGATTGAAGAAGGGCAAGTTGGGACTATCTGGGTCCAGTCTCCGTGTGTGGCAGCTGGGTACTATGGCCAGCAAGAGCTAACAACCGCTACATTTGCCAATGCATTGCCTGGCTATGATGGCACCTGGCTAGACACTGGTGATTTGGGGAGAGTTGTGGATGGACAGCTCTATGTCACTGGAAGAAGCAAAGATCTCATCATCATCAATGGAAAAAACTACTATCCAAGTGATGTGGAGCTCTCTATTGATGATGCTTTTGGAGATGTGATCCGTCCAGGAAGAACCAGTGCTTTCCAGCATGGGGAAGACAGCCTTGGCATCACAGTGGAGGGCCGCAAGGACTTTGACAAGTCAGAAAATGAGGATTTGGCAGTCCAGATAGCCAACCATGTATCACAATTCCATGGGCTGTTTGCCTCGGAGGTAGTGGTCCTAAAATTGGGTGTGACACCCAAGACCACCTCTGGCAAGCTGAAGAGGAGTGAGATCAGGAGGACTACAATTGGTGGTAACTGGAAAGAGTCTTCCATACTACTTCAATTCCAGCGAAATGACTTTATTGCTCCGTTTGCCCAGGGACATAGGTCTTCTTTCTTGGAGATAAGTTTTGCTATGAATGGTGTTGCCAGCAGTGAGTTCAACCTCAATGAAGACACTGGACATGAGATGATTAAAGAATCTGCGAGTGTTGCAATTATTGGTGGCGGGGTTGCTGGCCTGGTTACAGCACTCAAATTGGCTCAAAGAAATATCAAAGTTACTGTGTTCGAGCGAAATGAGCAAATTGGAGGCCATGCCAGGCACACAACAATCTTTGGGCATGAACGCAACCCAGCCTTTGGAATGTTCCTTGGTAGTGCTTGGCCAAACCTCATGGCACTGACAAAAGAACTTGGTGTCGATCCAGTCCCTTTGGTCACAGCTCATGAATTTCGAGATGTTGTTGGGATGGGGGAAGACAATATCCCAGAGGCCAACCCAGCTGAAGTTAGTCGGTTCCTTGCCGAAATGCATATTGTCTACAAGTCAGGCAATGGACAGGTTGAAAGTATTGGGCAGTACATGGGCAGAAATGGATTTAGCCATCATTTTGCTGTTACTTATTTCCTTGGAAGAATGATTACTTTCTTTCCTGGCAGCTCAATTCAACAGTTTCTGGACTATCCCTTGGATTTGATTGCTTGGTATGTTGTAGCCATTGGCATTTCAACTGCAGATGAAATGGTCTTCCGTCTGCGCAACAAGGAATACATGACTGCTTTCGAGCAGAATCTTTTGAGCCTAGGTGTGGAGTTCAAAATTGGCTGTTCACCAAGCGTTATTGGCCGAGATAAAGGTGTCTCAATCTCAACTGGCAATGGAGATGATGACATTCTGCAGTTTGATAAACTTGTGCTGGCAGTACCTCCCAATGCTGCACTGCAAGTTCTGGGTGAACATTGCTCAGACTATGAGGAAGTCTTGGCAGACTTTGAGTGTCCACTAGAGACAGTTGTATACCACACAGATTCAAAGTGGGCAGTTCCCAGCAAGAACAATGGAATATTTGCCAACATCCCAGACTGGGGAGCAGCTCTGCCTTCTTGTGATGACACAATCCCATTCACTGCATCATTTGTGAGTGGTAAGTAAATCAAAGGTAATTGCTTCATTTGGTTGCTGGAACAGGCTGGATGCACTCTAATCTCTCTTGTGCTTTAACAGACTCTGATGACAAGACCCCTATTTATGCAACTCATGCCTATAACACCTTCAATGAGTTGGACTTTGCTACCCCTACTGAAATGATATCATTCACACACACAAGAGTCACATGCAAAGCTATTCACCTTCGGAAGTCTTTGCTGCGGCATCAAGGGAGGCATTCTACCTATTTTGCTGGTGGTTGGACGCGTGGTCTCATGTTTCATGAAGATGCTCTTGTAAGTGGAATTCAGGTGGCCAATTCCATCTTGCATGAATTGGGGAGAAGACCCCACCCTATTCTTGAAAGGACCAGAGAAATGCAACAAAATATCCCACCTACCACCATTGATGATGGGTCTACATGCCAAGGCAACTTCACCACAAAGTATGCCAAAACACTTATGTCTGTTTTTGGGTCAGAGGTTGACTCATCAAAAACATGGGTAGAGAATGGCCTGACATCCCTAACGAGTGCAGAGCTGAGGATGAAGGTGGAGGAAGAGATGCACGTGGTTCTGCCAGCAAACTTTGAGCAGATTTACCCAACACCTGAGTCACTTTCCGACTTTTTGGTGGCATCAAAAACCAAAAGCTTTCCAAGCCATGACACATTCAAGGACCCTGACTTCACCTGGCATTCAAACAGGGCAAAGCTAAGCAAGCTACAGCTTGGAGTGTTTCAGATGCTTGGCTCAATAGTGATTCTTCTCCTGCTCTTCACCTCCGTTGTTCCATCATACTTCCTTGTCTCATTGGTCCTAAACCAGTGTGGCTCAACAGAAGTCAGAGAGTGCCAGGATCCATTTTTGTTATTGCTCTTGCCCATGTCCTTTCACCTGTGCATACTGTCCCTCTCAGTCATTGTGATGCTCTGCAAGTTTGTTGTTGTTGGGAAGTACAGACACCAACAATTTGATCTCTTGTCGTGGGACTACCTTCATTGGTGGTTCCTTGACAGACTCGTTGAGATCTGGGAGTCAATTGCAGGTCAATTTTTGCTCGGAACAAAGTTGCTTTTGCTTTTCTATTGGCTACTTGGAGCAGACCTGTCATGGTCTGCTAAGATTGAATCCTTTATTCGTGAATTTGATCTTGTCCAAGTAGGAAGCGATGCTACTATTGGGCACCCACTAAAGTGCAGGAAGTTCTCTCAATCCAAGGAAAGCAGCCCACTGATGACCTTCCGTCCCATTGTTGTTGGAAACAACTGCAATGTGTCTGGAATGGTCAGCCTAGGTGCTGTTATTGGTCAAGGCAGCAAAGTCGCAAAACTGTCTGTTGTCAAAGAGGGAGCAATAGTTCCTGAGGGTGTACTTGCCAGTGGAAATCCAGCATACAATGCTGGATCATTCCATCATGATGAATCAAGCTTATTTGGAGAATCTATGTTGGAAGCTTTCAAGATAACTTGGACCATCTTTGAAGCATATCACCTCTTTGTGCTATCCTATATTGTGTACACCACACTCAGCATGATCTTGCCTTATTGGCGATACAGTGGCATTTTGCACTGGATCCTGCTCCTTCCAATGACATCCTTCCTTGCTCTGCTTACCAGCATTGCCCTCAAATGGCTTTTGCTTGGTAAAAGGACTCCATCAAATCAATATGCAGCGTCTCTGTGGAGCCGGGCAACCAATTGGGCATGTGACTTCCACTTCCGAACAGCATGTTGGCTATTTATTCCCTTTTTTGGGCAATCAAGAATATGGAACATCATTCTTTTCCTCCATGGCCTTGATGTTGACATGGTGTCAACTCTAAGTGGTCCATACTTCTACTTCCTACCTTCTAATGTTGATTTTGTAAAGATCCGGGGATCATTTGTTGCCACCATGTCACTCGACTTCGGCAACGTCAGCAAACAAGGAAACTCCATGATTGAGATTATCAGCAGCAGCATCGGCTTTGGTTCCAATCTACATGCAGGAGTCAAGATAGTGCAATCCACAATCCCACCAAGATCCAATGTGTCTGACAGTATCTATGATTTGAACCAAGTGGGCAAGTTGCCAAAGAAGCCACCCATGCTGACAGAAGAAGTGGCTCTTCAGGTTATGAATGTTGTTGTTTTTGCATCTATCATACCTTGCTATGAGATTGGTCTGGCAGCTACAGCAAGCTCTTCCCCTGTTATTGTTGCATTTGGTTTGGCTCTTGCAGTTCTGTTGCAACTCTTCATATGGATTCTATCCACCAGGATTGTTGAGTTTATTTTGTTCCATCTCCCAACCCAAGCCCAACAAGCTCTGCTCGGAGTTTACCTCACTCATGTCTGGTACTTTCGTGTGGGAAACTGGCTGGACATGGCCCTCCATGGTACCCCCATGTTTGGTTACTATGCACAATTAATGGGAGCAGAAGTTGAAGGAGACCTCTGGTACTTTGGCAATGCTATTTATGAGTATTGTTGCTTGCACTTTAAAGGAAGCGTAATTGTTGACAACTCCCATTTGAGCGGCCATTACCTTGATCTCAATGGGCTCACCCTTGGTGACACCTATGTATCAGGATTGTTGCATCCTGGATGCTATGCCCGTGCTGGGTCTGTAGTCACTGGAAACGAGAATGGTCCCTGGAAAGTATTCTTGAGAAGCGATTTGGGAATGCAGGATTCGAAACCTGTTCTGAAAGAGTCACCCCAGCTGGGTAACACAGACCGGCTGGCAACTGTCAGCCAGGATGACCCCATGGATGATGTGCCCATGGATCTTGATGTGTAGTTCATCTACAATTTAATAATAATTTCAATTTGAAATGACACATGAAATGGTCATGTACTTTCGTGAAGCTGCTTTTGAAGGCAGTGGCGTCTGCATGACAGAAGAAGAACGAATATTGATAATTATGTTTGGTACAGAGGATTCCTCAGCCGTACGTATACTGTACGAGCATCGGCACGAGGAACAAGAAAAGCAATGTATGCACATAGGAAGACACTGTACAGGCCATTGCGGAGCGAGGAAGATGTAGCATACGGAGCCATGTATTGAGGTCGTGCCGGTGAGGGTGCCCTTGGCTACCTCTCTGTGAGATCAACCCTCACTTCGCCAAGGCTTCGGCCGCGGCACAGGAGTGCTTGTCCATTGGCACCATATCCGTTAGTGGTCCTCGTTGGATCAATCTTTTTTGGAAACCAGATACAATTACATGAAATCGATCCAGTTCGGCTACCGGTACCTTCCCGCTGCACCACCAAAAGTACACGAGCGCACGGCAACCTCCAAGGGGCAGAGGAATGGAGAAGCAAATCATTGTTGACAATACTGCTTTGGTGAAACCCAGCAGCAGACAGCGAACTTTATAATTTACAAACAGCCCAAGAGATGGGTTGAGATAAACGTCTTCCTCCGCTGTATGTGTGTCTGACGGCTGTATTACTGTTTTTGCTTTTGTGGTGATTGAAGTCATCCTGCTCTTCCGAAATGGGTCACGTATCCACTATGCAGAGGAAAGGATCAACAAAGGCGCCAGAGCCACTTCCCCCGCCAACATGACGGAAGAAGAACGAATATTAGGTGGAATTGCTTCTAGACTACGTGGTCAATATCAAGAACGACGCACAAAGGCAATGCATAAATGTAAACCCCCCCAGCACCTTCTGGCTGATTGAAGCCTCCCATCATCTTTGCCAAACTGGCGAATGCTGCCTGCTACGCATTCAAATTGGTCGGAGGAAATCTCAGCCATACTACGTACCGGTATGAGCATCGGCACAAGGAACAAGAAAAGCGATGTATTTTTTTGTTGTTACAATTATCTCGTCTTTGCTGGCAGTGCGACCGAGTCGTTGTGCACCCGTACCAACGAGCCAACTTCGCCCCATTTCGAAAGATAGATTAGAACACCCAGGAGAAAAAATCGCGCGACCGCCTCCAATCGTTGATCACATCTTCGCTTTGATTCTCCAATCCTGACGAAACTCTGGCCAGGCTTGCTTGTGGGATTTTCCAAAACACGGACTGCAAAAAGGACTGTGATCGCAGAAATGAGTGTTGCCACCGATCACAACATTCAACCGATCAGTACCGGTAAGGTCAAGAGCATGCTAGCTAGCTAGCTACCGGTTGGTAGTACGTCAAGGAGAAAACTGACTATTTCAAAAGATCTGGCTGAGAGGGAAGAAATGGCAAAACGAAGAAGTACTACGAGTAGTACTAGTAGTCCATGGGACAACAACGATGATGATCCGTCGGAAATGACGTTCAGCCGTCGAGCCGCTCGATATCTGTCCCGGTTTCGGTGGTACTATCCAAGGGTAGCGGAACGCAGAGGAGAAGCCTCGTTAGATGCGGCATGGCATCACTACGAACACGTCACGCTGCCAAGGTGCTACCAAAAAGTTCCCAAACACACCCAGCATGATGGCAATGACGACGACGAAGCGAGCTTTCATTTCGTCCGAGCATCCACGTCGGAACGAGAACGACCGACCACACTGTATCCCGTCTTTTCCTCTCCTCTCAAGGAACTGACCAATTTTGGAGTCTCGACACGCATGTACTTTTCGACCCTCTTAGTCCTGGCGGGAATTCTCGGTTTAGCGGGACTACTGAATATACCCCTCATGGTGTATTTCGGGGGGTATGCCCAAGACGGCAAGGATGGGGTGAATTATTTTGGTGTGCAGTCCATTCGAGCCTCGGCGCTTTGTGACTCGACGACCTGGGTGGAGTGCGAAAGCTGTAATGAAAATGCGCATGAATACCCATCTTATCGACTCGACGGAACACGAGTGCGACGAAACATTTGCAACTTTGACGATTGGCTTGTGCATGGACTATGTAGCTATGCAGCTACCGTGGCCGTCTTGGTGCTCGTCTTTTTGGCATCTTGGAAGCAACGCAAGGCCGAAATTGTATTTGATGAAGCCATTCAGACGGCGTCCGATTATTCCATCAAAATTAGCAACCCACCGCCCGATGCCGTGCACCCGGAAGAATGGAGACAGTTCTTTAATCATTATGCTACCGGTACCAGTGGCAGCCATGGAAAGTCCAAGAAGGGCGTTGTCATGGTCACGATTGCACTCAACAATGCCAAGCTCCTTCGAGCACTGATTGCACGACGACAAAAACTGCAGCAGCTCTCGTACTGTCTACCACGCGGAACTGACATGACCGATAGTGTGCTAGTATGGAACTTGATTCTGACCACGACCACCAAACCATGGTTGTCCATGTTCTACCTGGCAAATGATGCTACCAAACTGTGGCATGACATTGTTCAACTGGAAGACGAGATTCGTACATTGGTGCAACAAAAGTACAAGGCTGTTGCCGTGTTTGTTACCTTTGAAACGGAACGGAGTCAACGAAACTGTTTGCACGCGTTGTCGACGGGGAAGATTCACGTGTGGCACAATCAACTCGATCAACACAAACTCAAGGTGCGCGGTAAAGTCTTTCGTGTGTACGAATCCTTGAGAAGTAGCTCGCTCTGGGATTGCCTCGAAAATGATCCTCAGCAAGAGCACACCATCCAACTAGGAGGCGACGGTGATGACTCGACAGCTAGTTTGTCCAAGGCACTCTTGTTTCGAGGGTGTCTTGTCTTGAATATCAAAGAGGCGATCGAACCCAGCAATATACGATGGGGCGACCTGCAGGCATCCACTCGACAAAGGCTCGAACTGTATTTATCCAGCACCGTTGGCATGGTCGTGTTCGTCTGTCTTTGCGGATACTTCATCTATTGCCTCGTGGCTCGGTATCCCGGCATTTACGCGACAATTTTCATTACCATGACAAACGTGGTGGTGCCCGTTGTTTGCCAGATTATCAGTGACTTTGAATCTCATCCCACGGAGCACGGCAAGCAAACATCTCTTTACATGAAGATCACCATCTTCCGCTGGTTCAACTCGGCCATTGCTTTGTCGGTGGTAAGTCGCTTCAAAAACTCCGGAAGGTGCTTTATTGCATATATCTAACTACTCTAAATCGCCTTCTATTGCTACGGTGATCCCCCTCTCCCCCTTGGTACGCAGGTCAGTCGGTTCATTGAATCGATCAGTGTCGAAGACAAAAATGAGTCCAAGCAACAGAGCCTTATATACAAAGTATATCCAGTCATAGTCGCCGAGTTGTTTGTCAATCCTGTTGTGGATCTTATGGACGTGGATGGGAACTTTCGCAAGCACGTGTTAGCACCGAGAGCCCGAGATCAGGAAGAGATGAATGCCTGTTTCCGGGGCAGTCGATTTTGGCTCGCTGAGAGGTACACGGTGCGTCAACATGTTTTCTGTCGCTGCGATCCCAGGGCTGTGACTTGACGCCGTGGTCCAGACTGACGATTTCCCTTTCTGCAGAACGCGAACAAGGTCCTCTTTGTCGCGCTCTACTTCTCCTCTATTCTGCCAGAAGCCTTATTCCTGGGTGCTCTTGCCCTTTGCGCCCAATTATTCTTTGGGAAATTTGCTCTTCTCCGGCTTTGCGGGCCGTCACCAGATTTGGGCTTTTATCTGAGTCGCCTGAATCGAAACTACGTGTTGCCCGTGGTCCTGACTTTTCATGTAACCATGAGTGCCTACTGGTGGTCAGGTTATCCCTACGATGTAAGAGCCTTTTGTGGGCTTGTGGACATGCCAGCGTAGATTATCAGGTACTTCTTATTCACGCGGTTCCGTCATTCCCTTTATCATGCAGGATGTCTGCCAGGAAGACGGCGGAGGATACACTTATTGCAACCAAAACTTTTACAGCGCTGGAATCTTCCCTCCTCTTCCTCGGTTCCAGCCAAATGGAATGAAATGGATGTCAGAGAGTCAAGAGACTATCACGGCTTTGTATGGGTGGACTAGCGTTGTGGTCTTGTTGATTGGTGTTGTGTTCTTTGCTCGTCACACCATCATTCCTGCAATTCGATCCATCTACGAGAGCACCTACGAGGTGAGTTGACTGCTCCTGTGGCAATGCATTGGAAAGTTGGGAGTCCGCTTACCAACTCTGCTGCGTGTATAACTACAACTTTGAATGTGTCCTTCGTCTCCCCGCGCTCACCAGCCCGACGGTATGGACCAAGGCATTGACTTTAGCTCTGTCAAGGACCGTGAAGAACTACATGGGTACATTCCACAAGTTCGAGTACCCGGCTTCGTGTTTCCTCTTTTGGCCTGTGATATCACCAGCGTACACGATGATCTGATTGGTTGGAAGGACCCAAAGAATGGATTTGTTCCTCATAACTTGGTCCAGGATGTTGAGAGGATCACGAATCACAGCAAGTTACCCCACCCCGTCTTCTCGGTTGTGCGTCAGTGGGGTCCAAACACAGCTGAGTGAGGTACAGTACTGGTAGTAGTTCTTTTATAGACTTAATAAGAGATGAACCACACATCAGCGGTTATACTCAAGGCTTCGTCATCTCTGGGGGATCCCTGCTCCCACCATGAGTGGAGGTAGTCACTGAGCCAGCAGCATCAACAGCAGGGGGAGGATTGTTGTGGGTGGCTGGTTTCCACCTTGTATTAAGTTCGCACACGCATATGACCTTGATGGGTGGCAGCAAGCTCAGATGTGTTGGAAGCTGCCATCTTCCTTTCCTCCTCCTCCTCCTCCTCCTCCTCCTTCTTCTCAGACTTGGACACCATAATCAAATTGTGCTTTTTGCTTGTAAAACTGGTAGGCTGGAAGCACCTTGAAGTACACCGAAAGCACTGAGATTCGGTGACTCGCGGGAACTCGGCATAAACACGTTGCACACTTGAACGGGGATTTTTAAGTCTCCGAGAGAGCTTGATAAGTCTTTTGGATTTTCGAAGAGCTGCCGTGCGATCCAAAGGCTTCCTCGAGAACTCTAGCTTCATCACAGGACGGAAAGGCGACTTTGCGGAGTTAAAGTTTGAGACTGTAATCGAGAAATGTATATGTATGAGAATTGTACTCGAGTATCATTCCTCTAAGGCTTTCATTGCACCACTGACCCGAGCTTTTCCTCCTCACTAAGTCATAAAAAAAGGCTTTCGCTCCAATGGATCGATCCGTGGCGATCCATTCGGTGGACGTCGAGTTGGTAGCCAGCTCGATTTCGACCTTGAGATCCTCGCAGAGACTTGGTTCAGTGTAATTCAGGCCTTACGGATCCACTGCTTGTCTTGGAGAACAACAGAAATGGCTGTGCGGATCAGTAGGAGTCAAAAGAAAGAAACTGAACGTCTATTTTTAACGGATTCAGACAAGATGTGCTTGAGGACGACCCATGAGCCAAGGCCTGGGTATTTCCCACAGTCGAGTCTGTGCACTGGCCACACTAGCCTCCTGAGAGGGTGCACACCTATTAGCTATCTAAGGGTTTGTACACTGATTTCCAAGCGATGATTCACCACAAATCATGTGCTCTTGTTGAAGAGAGTGGGAGTGATAAGTCAAAAGGTAGGATTCTTGGAGATCTCCACCCAAACTCGAGCTCTGATTCAATGGGCCAGTTCACCTGGAGCAGTAGCTCTTGGGATGCTATTGTGACTGATTAATCAAATAACTTCTTGAAAGGACCACGGTAGATCCACAAGAGATGAGGATGGCCAGGAGGCCTCCTCGTTCGGTGCCTATGCACCAACATGTGCGCATAGCGAGCTATCATACTGTGGGGATGTATCATAGATCAATCCACAAATCCTGTGATCCAGAAGGAGACTAAAGCGATACCTCCTGCCATGATTCCAAACACAGCAGAGTGAGGCAGTATTTCTTTTATAGACTTTTTAAAATATAGATGTACTAAACTTCAATCTCATTGGGCAGCTCATCCATGAGATCATCCTGGGGACTGTCAATCAGATTGTCCATGCTATCCTGGTGTTTCTCTTTCAGACCACGTTTCAAATCCTGCTTTCCCAAATCACTTCTCAAGAAAACTTTCCAAGGACCATTCTCTTTTCCAGTGACTACAGACCCAGCAGAGGCATAGCATCCTGGATGCAACAATCCAGATACATATGTGTCAGCAAGGGCAAGCCCATTGCCATCAATGTAGTGCCCACTAACATGGGCACTATCAATAATGACACAACCTTGAAAGTGCAGTTTACCATACTCATACAGAGAATTTCCAAAGTACCAGAGGTCTCCATCCACATCAGCCCGCATGAATCGAGCATAGTAGGCAAACATGGGTGTACCACAGAGAAGGATTACAAGCCAGTTCCCAACTCCAAACATCCATACATTGTTGATGTATATTCCAAAAACATCTTGCTGAACACTGTGAGGCAGTCTCAGCATCAGGCTCTCAACTGCTCTTGTCAAAAGGATCCAAACAAATAGCTGCAGGGAAATGGCTCCCGTCAACCCAAACATGGTGATGGCTGTGGAGGAGCTCATCAAAGCAGCAATGCCAATCTCAAAGGCTGGTATGAGTGACACAAAAATGGCAACATTCAATAGAAGCTGTGTTTCTTCTGGAAGGAGCAAGACAGAACTGCTGGGCTTCCATGCCTTGCCCGAATGATTCAAATCATAGACACTATCAGAAACATTGGACCTTGGAGGGATTGTTGATCGCATCACTTTGACACCAGCATGAACATTGACACCGTATCCAACACTGCTGTTAGTATTGAGTTCAATCTTTGAGTCTGCTGGAGTGGTCATATCCAGGGTAATTGTGCCAACAAATGATTTCCGGATCTTCACAAAATCAACCTTGGAGGGGAAGAAGATGATGTATGGGTTGTTGAGGATTGAATCCATATCAACATCAAGCCCATGGAGGAAAAGGATGATGTTCCAGAGTCTGGACTGGCCAAAGAAGGGAGTCAGTGTCCAAGAAGCCACACGGAAGTGGAAATCACAGGCCCAGTTGGTTGCTCGATGATAGAGTGATGCTTCATATTGATCTGATGGATCCCTTCTTCCAATTAGCGTCCACTTGAGAATAAGGCTTGTCAGGAGGGCAAGGAAAGAGGAGGCTGGAAAAAGCAAGATCCAATGAAGGATAACTTCATAGCGCCAACTGGGCAAGATTTGGTTGAGTGTGATATGGACCAAATAGGACAGGGAAAAGAAGTGATAGGCTTCAATGCTTATCCAAGCTACTTTGAAGAAATCAAACATAGATTCTTCAAAAGAGCTTGATTCTTGATGACTGGTTGTGCCAGCATTGTATGCTGGGTTCCCCCTTGCAAGTACAGCTTCTGGAACCTGAGCACCCTCTTCAACAACAGACAATTTCTCGACTTTGCTTCCATCTCCGATATTGGCTCCAGGGCTGATCATGCCAGACACATTGCTGCTGCTTCCAACAACAATTGGGCGGAAGGTGATTGTGGGGCTTGATTCTTCAGAGTGAGAGAACTTCCTGCACTTGATGGGATACCCAATAGTGGCATTTTCCCCCACTTTGACCAGATCACATTCACGGATGTATGACTCAATCTTGGAGGACCAAGCCAAGTCTGCTCCAAGCAGCCAGTAGAAGATCCAAATGTACTTTGTCTCAACAAAGAATTGTCCCACAATAGACTCCCAGACTTCAATGAGCCTGTCCATGAACCACCAGCGAAGATAATCCCATGATAGGATCTCAAATTGTTGGTGTCTGTACTTCCCAACAATAGCATACTTCAAGAATACCACGAAGCTGGAGAAGGAAAGGATGAACAGAGGGAAAGCCATAGGCAAGAGAGTCCAAACTAATGGGCCATTACACTCTCCAACTTTTCCTGAGCCACAATTATCCATTATCCAGGAGACAAGAAAATATGATGGAACAAGTGACATCAATGGCAAAAGAAGAATCAGAATGAATCCAAGAGTCTGAAGGATGCAGAGTTGTAGGTTGCTCAGCTTTGATCTTGATGTGTTAAAAAGAAAGTCTGCATGAGCACAAACTTGATCAATGGGAAAGCCCTTGCCCTCTGAGGATGCCAAAAAGACTGAAAGTGCCTCAGGTGTTGGATAGAGCTGTTCAAAGTTTGATGGAAGGACTACAAGTAGCTCTTCCTCAACCTTGTTCCTAAACTCAGCACTCTTTAGGGATGTGAGCCCATTCTCTGTCCATGTCTTGGAGGAGTCAACCTCTGACCCAAAAACAGACATAATTATATCTGAGTATCTGCTTGACAAGCCATCCTTGTTTGGTGCTTGAATGTCGGACTGTCCATGATCAGCTCCTCCACTTTCACTCAAGCGATTTGATGGAACAATAGTCTCTCGCTCGAGCACAGGGTGTGGCTTCATGCCAACATCCTGTAGCACAGAGTTGGATGCCAGGATTCCACTAACAATGGCGTCCTCATGTAGCATTGTCCCTCGTGTCCATCCACCAGCAAAATAGGTAGAATCATTCCCTTGATGCTGCAACAAAGAGTTTCGGAGCTCAATGGCCTTGCAGGTAATTCGGGTATGAGTAAATGACATCGTCTCCACTGGAGAATCAAACTCAAGCTCTTCGTATGTGTTATAGGCATGTGTAACATAAATTGGCGTTTTGCCATCTGTGTCTGCAGGTTCCGAGCAAGGTGGTCCAACAGTTAGCACAATAGACAGCAACTCAATGCAATATGGATTCCACACCTACCACTTGGGAATGATGTCGTCAAAGGAATGGTGTCAGAAGCTGCAGGCAAACTTGATTTGCCCCAATCCAGAATATTGGCAAACAGCACACATGGTTTCTTGCTGTCAATCCAATTTGAATCTGTGTGCATCACAACTGTCTCCAAGGGGCAATCAAATTCAGTCAGAACATTCTCTTGTGGTGACATGGAATTTTCAAGGACATGGGCAGCAGCATTTGGTGGAACTGCCAAGACAAGCTTGTCAACTAGCAGAACATCTTCTTTACCACAGCAGCTTGTGCTGAGTGTGACTCCAGAATCAGCACGACCCAACACCTTGGTAGTCACATTTGTCTTGATTTCAACACTGAGGCTTTGCAACTGCACCCAAAATGCCTCCATGTATTCTCTGTTGCTCATTCGGAGGAAGGCCCTGTTCTTGGCAAAACCAATTATAACAAACCAAGCAACCAGCTCCAATGGAATATTGAGGTAGTCTTGAATGGACTGCCCAGCAAAAAAGCTGACAATTCTGCCAACATAAAAGTACACGATGAAGTGCTGATCATATCCATTCTGGTCCAGGAATTCACCAATTGTCTCATTCTGACCAGAGCCAGCCTTGTGAATTCGTTGCATTTCAGCTATGAAGCGGCTGATCTCCGAAAGTGGAACCTCAGGAATAGGCTGGGACTTTTGGGAAACCAACCCGCGTGCTTGCCTTGACTCGCCAAGAGGAATTGGTGCCACCCCAAGCTCCTCTGCCAGAGCCATTAGGTTTGGTGATTCCCCTGCAATGAACACTCCAAAAGCGGGATTGCGTTCATGCCCAAAAACTTCCACGTGTCTTGCATGTCCACCAATTTGCTCATTGCATTCAAGCAGTGTGACTTTGATGTTTCGTTGAGCTAACCTGAGTGCTGCAATGAGACCAGCAGCCCCAGCTCCCACAACAGCAACATGCAGCGGCTTTTCATCATATTCCTCAAAGTGAGAAGGGTCTTCAATACTGTCCATCATGGTTCTCATCGATTTCAAGTCAAGCAAAGTCATTGACCTGCGCTTGATTTCACGTTGAGTTCCTTTGGACAGATAAAACTCGCTGCTGGGAATACCTTGATTTGAAAAAGAGTTCTCAAGAAAAGAAGCTCTTTTCGTTTTCAGTAGAGGAACAATTGTCTCTTCGCGCTGGAATTGCAATAACACAGATGATTCCTTCCAGTCACTTGCAATAGTAGTCTTCCTGATCTCGCTCCTCTTCAGCTTGCCAGAGGTGGTTTTTGGTGTCACACCAAGCTTGAGAACAACAACCTTAACAGCAAGCAACCCGTGCACCTGAGATGCATGGTTGGCTATGTGGACAGCCAAATCTTTATTTTCCAATTCATCAAATTGCTTGCGGCCTTCGACAGTGATGCCGATACTATCATCACCATACTGAAAGGCAGTGGTCCTACCTGGACGGATGACATCACCAAAGAGATCATCGATAGACAGCTCCAAATCAGTTGGGTAGTAGTTCTTGCCATTGATAATGATAACATCTTTCACGCGTCCAGTGACATAGAGCTGCCCATCCACAATCTTGCCCAAATCACCAGTGTCAAGCCAGGTCCCATCATAGCTGGGCAAAGCATTGGCAAAGGTAGCGGTGGTTAACTCAGACTGGCCATAGTATCCGGCTGCCACCCGGGGTGATTAGGCCCAGATGCTTCCAACCTGTCTGTTTTTGACTTCTTTTCCATCCTCAACAATTCGAAGCTTGAGGGTTGGAGAGTCTGCTGCACCACAAGAAACCAGGCCTTCAGCCTCGGCATTGGCTGGTCCGCCAGTAAGAAACACCACAGACTCAGCCATTCCATAAATGTTGTAGATATGCTGTTGATTGATGTTTAGAGTCTTTGAAACTGCTTCCACAATGTGACTTTGAGAAGGCTCACCACCAAACATGGCTCGCTTTACACAACTCCAGTCAGCTGTTCGGTTGGCCTGTTGCAACCTCTTGAGGAGCAAGGCATAGGCAAAGTTGGGGGCACAGGTAAGGGTGGCCTTGTAGGTCTCAACCATATCACTCCAGAGTAGAGGATTGGACACAAAATCCAGTGGTGATGCCATGACAAGATGAATACCTCCATATACAGTTGACATGAACCCAGCCACAAGCCCCATGTCTATAAAGGATAAGGAAAAGGGCATCTGGAGTGAGCGATGGCTAGAAAGCTGATCTGATTCTAGGACAACAGTTTTTTGACCATACCATGATATTGAGGAACCCACAGGGCTGCAACAGTTGAACTGAGTACGTCAGTATCTGACATGCACGAAATACCACGAATATTTTCCACAAGATTGTGGTGACCGATCATGACTCCTTTTGGGCGACCAGTACTACCGGATGTGTATTGGATGAAGCAGATGTCTTCTGGTGCCCCCACATAAGTCTCATAGGCTTTCTGTTTGTTTGCGTTGCGCTTCTTGACTTGTAAATTGTCGGTTCCGATCCACTTGACACCAGTTTTGTAGAGGACACTCACGGCGGTCATGGCCGTGGCAAATGCTGTAGAAGTTAGAGCATACTTGGCTCCAGCATCCTCAGCAAAACCACGGAATTTGGGCATTTCAGTTTTGAGCTGATTGGGATTAGGTGGATAGATGGAACAGGGAATGACCCCAATCTTCATGGCACCAAACATGCCTGCCAAGAACTCCAGGCCAAAGGGATAGGCCACCATGACTCTATCTCCCTTCGAGCAACCCAACTTGAGAAGACGAGCTGCCACAGCATTGGATTCATCTTCTAGTTGCCTGAATGTCATTTTGTTTTGCTCCTTGCACTTGATATCGACCCACGTGAACAGAATCTTTTCAGGTGTTTCAGAGGCATGATAGTTGAGGGCCTCCAGGATGGTTGAGAAGAACATTGTCATTGTATACTATAGTTGTCTCTTGCTTTGGTTTGATACTTTAATTTTGTGAGCTTTTTGTCTGCCTTTGCGGGAGTGTTTCCGTGTTGTTGCTTCATGCAGTAGTCATGCTCGTTTTTTGTTGTTACCATGCAGCAGCGAGGGCTCAAAGTAGAGGTGGCGGAGTTACATTGAATGTACGATTCATTCAATCATTCGTTATTTGAAGTGTGCCTGAATAAGGCCCTTTTTTAATGCTTTGAATGACGGCCTGGAAACTGAGACCATTGACTTTCGCAAAACACGATCCACCTGCTTGGCCACCAAGACTTTTGGTACAGCCGTGATAGCTACCGGTACGAAACGGCTACAGCCAGCCGATAGCGTTCTTTGATGGCTCGATCAGAGAAAATCCGTCGTCCACTCTAAACTATGGTAATGCAGCTACAGTGTACTCATCCTTACGCCAGCACAGAATGAAGCATTGGGGGCCATCGCGATGGGATGAATACCAACAAATGGGTAAGTCCTGTACCACGGAACACCAATGGACCAAGAAAAAACCCAAGAAATATTGCCAAGTTCAAAGTTGGGAACCAATAACGTTTTTCTGTGCGATGTTGATTCCGTGGTCGTCGCGGTAGCATCGATCCATTGCTCACTTTGTTGACCCTCGGTCCGATCACTCACTGCAGCAGCTGCTGCTGTCTTTTTTGTCCTGTGCTGATTGTGCGCGAAACCACCTACTGAATTTCGACTGGTCAGCAAGAGACGCAAATCCGCTGCTAGCCATTTGGTGATCATGCTGCTAGCGATTGGTGGATTAATGTCCTTGTTGGTCTTGCGAGTACCGTACTTTCATTAGCAGCCTACATTGGTCGAGCCCGGAAAGCCCAAGGGAAGTCTGGTGTTGTCATCGTGGTAGCCTTGTTTGATTTATGGACTGAATGCAAACATATAGTCAGCCTTAAAACATCTTCACGAGTGATGGGTGGATCGACACCATGCAAGAATGGAACGTCTCCTCGTCATCTGGGTGGAGAAAGACATATTCTCCTCATACGGTACGTTGGTTCACGACGTCGAGACCATAACATGGGGAAGCAAGTTACCTCACGTCTTCTCTGTTGTGCGTCGCAGGGAGCCTAACACAGCTGAGTAAAGGTATTAGTTCTTATAGACTTTAAAATAGATGAACTACACGTCCACGGTGACTCAAGGCTTGGGCTGTGTTGATCCATCCATTGGGGCCAAAATATTATGTTCTACAGGACTCTCGTGTGTGGTGAAAAGTTCTATACCACTCTCATGCGATGATCCAACCCTTCACTCTTGTCCGCCCAGATTATGCCACTGCCTGTGTGCATGGAGAGATACTCCAGTAGATAGCTTTTTGGTCCGCCGACAGCACTGTACCACTGCACTACTATCTACTATCTCACGAGCGCCGACAAGCGGCGCTCGCCTAGAGCAGCACAGCACGACTAGTTGAGTAGTGTAGGGTGGTGGAGAGACTCGGCCATTTACTGAGCCGACCGTCTCCGCTACCCAGGGGTGCCGCTCGTGATTGCTAGAATCGCGAGCGGGAACCAAGGCACGAATGAGGCAGTCCCGCGGGATGTGAGTCCCGCATGATTGTGCGACATTCGGCCAACCCAGGGAGGGAGAGGTGGGTTAATCTATTCTAGTTCTTGCTTGCAGCTCGGCTGAAGGAAGAATTGTGAGCAGAGAAGGACAACCTTCTTGCGATCACTGTTCAATGGCTGAAAGAGAGTTGGACCGGTCTTGCATGTTGTGTTCATTCAAGGTTGCTATCTGTGAGCGGTCTTCGAGGGGTGCTATTGCCTTAGAGCTGATCTTGCGAAGGAGGCAGACATAGCGACATGTATGTGGGGTATCCATTTCAGGAACGCAGGTGATGACCTGAGAGATGTAGAGATGTACTTGATGAGTAGGAGCGAAGTGTGGGAATCGATTTCGTGTTTTGTGAGATGTACAGTTTGGCAACTGTGAGTCGAGTCATTCGTCGAAAACCCATGAGGGTTCAGGTTTCCAGCCAGGCAGCGTGGCAGAATAGGGATCAGGATCGTTGTCCTCTTTTGCGTGCGGCTGCTCGACAACGAGCGCCGACAAGCGGCGCTCGCCTAGAGCAGCACAGCACGACTAGTTGAGTAGTGTAGGGTGGTGGAGAGACTCGGCCATTTACTGAGCCGACCGTCTCCGCTACCCAGGGGTGCCGCTCGTGATTGCTAGAATCGCGAGCGGAACCAAGCACGAATGAGGCAGTCCCGCGGGATGTGAGTCCCGCGTGATGTGCGACATTCGGCCAACCAAATAGCCAAAGGCAGAACAGGGTGGGAGCGTAGCGGGGTGGGAAAATGAGAGACCGAGGAGGAGGCAAGGTTCTCTGGAGATGTGGACTAAGGGTAGGTTAGTCCTCGTAGAGTTCCGCGTGAAGGAGGATCTCTGCGATAGTAGCAGGCGCCTGCGCAGGCGGGAGGAAACTTGTCGTAGGTTCCCGCCTGGAAGGTGTAGGCACCGTGGGCCAGCATTTTTCTGGGAGTAGTGGTGCGTGATGGTGGCGGCCTGGATTCGGAGGAGCGCAACATGGCGTCTGACTTCATCGACCGAGGAGGCGGATGGCATCAGAGTCCACTGGGCGCAGAGGAAAGCAGTGGCGCCGCCCGGAAGGAGGGAGCGAGCGGACACTTCATGTGGGAGATTCTGGTGGTCCGTTCGAGCCGCTTGCGGCAGCACGAAGGCATCGGTGATGAACTTGGGCTTGACGTGTACCATTTCTTACGGACGGAGTTGTAGTGTTTGTAGAGTGGAGTGGAGGCGCGGTCCTCCAATGGAGTGTTGAGCGTGATGTGTGCGGTGCGGATGTGACGGACGAGACGGGCGAGGGATTTGACAGGACAGAGCCAGGGGTCAGCGGTAGCCCGGTGACCCACCGACCTCGCCTTTGACGCGTTCTTTTGGTCATGAATGTCAGCGAAGCCGCGGTGAGGCACTGGGGTCAGACACGTCATTCAAAGAGATTTTGTCAGCGGTGACTTGGAAGCGACCAGCGATGGTGAAGGTGATGTCCTCAAGGAGAAAGGCCTGGCTTCGGGCCTCAGGGTTACTGGTGTCGAGATATTCAGCAGGGCGGAGGAGCCAGAAGAAGGCGCAGATGCAGAGGATCCCGAGTGTGTTGGTTGAAGTCCACGACGGGGTCAACGATCGAAGAGCGGTGAGCAATTCTTGTAGATGGTAGATGTTGGCAGGGTAGGCCGGTCGGGGGGTGCGTCGCCGTCATGGAGTCTTTGTAGTAACCAGTGAGTATTGGATGGAGCTTCCCGTCGGAGCCGAGTCGGGGATCAGTCTGGTCCAAGTTGGATATCCCTCGCCGACGGCGTGAATGGCTTTGACCACTGTATCAGCTCGGACATACGTTCGACACGCGGTAGTTGTGGGGAAGGGAGGAGGTAGCAGATACGGACCTCGGGCTCAAGGAAATCACGGAGGGTTGCGTTGACCTGTGGCGATCGCAGAAGTCACACAGCGCCGAAGGTGCGGTTGCGGGCCCTGAGCTGGTCTTGGAGACGATGCTTTTGAGGCAACTTGCAGCGAAGCGCGAGAGTAGACTGGGAAGGACTCGGGTGGCAGCAGTCAACCCTCAAGGTAGCTGTCTGGGATATCGCTGTCCAAAGTGGTACAGGAGCGAAGGCATGGTGAGATGTTGCAGACGAGATAGTGTCGTCGGCATGACGTTACCGGTCCTAGGATGTACGTCGAGAGGGGGCAGTACCGTGTTTGCGTTGGTGGAGAGAGGCGTAGTTGAGAGGGAGGCGGCTGGTACCATCAGTGGAGACGCACCCTTGGCCACCGGGAGACAGCGGGGTGTTGTCCGATAGCTGTGTGAGGGTAGCGTAGCGGACGTCGTGACGGTCGCGAGGAGAGCTTGTTGAGCCAGAATGCCAGCGTGTTCGAGGTCGCTGTTGGTAATGGAGCCAGAGAGGTTTGCGGCCGAGACTAGTCGCGTTGGATGTCGTCCGGGAAAGGCTCTCTCCATAGGTATCCTTGACCCGTTGAGTCGAAGTAGACACCACCCATACCGGCCTTGGCGGCGTCAGTGGCCCCGAAGTAGGAAGGGTCCTGAGGCACGATCTCAGGGGTGTGGTGGCGGTGGCAGAGGCTGGCTGCCAGATGGCGGAAGGCGTCGATGTGATGAAGGAGAGCGGCGGTGATCCGGATGCGGTTTCCGCTTGCCTTGGTGAGGGCGAGTTGGAGTGCGCGAACAGCCCAGCGGAACCCCGTATAGCGACCGAGACGAAGCGAGTTTCGCGAGGATTTGCATCCAGACTTTGTTGCTAGACGCAGCCTTGCAGGCAGCTAGCCCTTCTGGAAGATAGCCGCGACGAGCCTCCTTGCGATGGGGTGGTACGTTCGAGTGTCTGTCTTAGAGTGTCAATGATCCAGTCCGAGGATGAGTTTTCGGGGGCCCAGCTGCCGTCGCCCTTTAGTAATTTCTTCAAGGAGACGGCTTCTTGCGATGTCTTTTCGTCCAGGTTTGGGCGTGCAAGGATCTGCGTCGATAGCGTGGAGAAGGTGACGACGAAGTACGTTCATCGGTTCTTGCCTCCTTGCCGAGTTGAATGAAGTCGTCAACGAGAGACATCTTTGCGGCTAGGGGACGGTTGTAACCCTGTTGGAGACTGCCGCGTGTCGTCGTCGGCGGTGTGACTCGAGGGTTCCGTGCGATGTTCGGAGGGCCTGAGTGGCGGACTCGGTCTTCGGCGTCGCTGGGCGTGGAGTCATGGATAGGGTGCAGGTCGTCCTGGCTAGAGGCCGGTTCTTCGAGGCGGGTGCGGCGGACAAGGCGCGGCGAGTGCGAGAAGCGCGAGTTACCGCGGTTCGCAGCAGTTTCGGACATTCCGCTGAATGTAGGAGGGATTGGACCCAACCGCATGGTGGAAGACATTGGGATGGCTACCAGTTGGGTTCTCCTTCGTATTTCGGGAGGAGAGCGTGAGACGGATGCAGATCTGAGGCGTTCAGGAATATACGGTAGAAGCCATCTCTGGATTCGTGCTTGCAGAGGCGGAACTGGACCAAAACTTGGGGTTAGCGTGGCTGACATCGTAGAGAATCCGGGGAAGGGCGCCTCCGAATTGCATGGCTTCGGTGAGGAGCATGATGAGCAGTGGTTTGGTTCAACCGATGGCCATCCCCAGTCCCAGGAGTGATCGCTGATGAGACAGGGTTTGCGGTCCCGTTCCTCTTTGACAGCAGCGGCGGATAGCAGCAAGGAAGGTTCGTCTTTGAGAAGGTCGTAGGGTAGGACTCACCCAGAAACTTGTTGGTGATGAATTCGGAGAATTCTCTCCGTGGCATCCACGCGGAATGCAATCCCCTGTCTGCTCGCGGTCCAAGAGAGGGGAGTTGTTTTTGACGGGAACCCCATGGTCCCGCCATTCGGTGAGCAAGGGAATGGCTGGATCGACTTGTTCCATTTCGGGGGAGAGGTAGGAACTACCTCGGAAGTTTGTGACAAAGGATTCACAGGACTCGGCTTGGGAGTAGTCGCGGCATAATTTAGTAACTAGCGTACCTAGACGATCATTTCGGACAGATTTGGTGTCAACGGGAGTACAAGTAGTTTTAGGTGTGTAGTGGAGGCGAGACTTTGAAGGTGAAGGACGCTTCGCCGGGGGCGGGTCGTTGAAGAGTGAAGGGGGCTTAGTAGGTGAAGGAGTGGAGTTGTGGTTGTGTGAAGTGTACTGAAGAATGTGTAGATGTGTTTATGTTGAGGGCAGGGGTGCTCCGTCGGTTTCTACCTGACGGAGGGACATCAAGGTTACTAGGTAGGGGCGAGCCCAACTGTCTTCGAGGTACAGGGGGGACGGTGAACGGTTGGGTAGTACACACCGCTACCGTGGTCCCGGGCGTGGAGACTCACGCTTGTTCTCTGGCCACTCCGCAGGTGTTCAGAAGTTCGTGGAGCTTATTGTTTGTCGCAGTTGGGTAGCGTTGCGAGTGGCAGCTCGCTTGCAGGACTAGATGCAGTTCCCTTTCAAGGCCCAGGCTAGACAGACATCTTGAACGCCGTGCTGAGGGATGGTGATGTCATGTACGCGGGTCATCTCCCCAATGGAGCGATGACCTGCGGACTGGAGTCGTTTGAGAAGGTCGTTGTCCCCTTGAGCCTTGGTGACACCGTGGGCTACGGCCTTCTGTTGATGATCTCCGGCAGGTTTGTCAAATAGTCAGGGGTGGAGCGGTAGGTTTGATGGGGGAGTACCAGTAAGGCGGGTGAGTGGCTAGGACTGAGGCCGGATGAGATTGGACGTGTCCCAAGTGTGTCGTGAAGTTTGGAGGCACAGCGGTACGGTCGGTTACAGCCAGCTTGACCCAGGCAAAGTAGTCCTGTTGTGTGTCATAGAGGACGCGGCCAATGATGTCCATACCTAGACTGGGTGTGTCGGCGTAGTTTCGGGAAATGGTGTATAGGCTGGGACCAAGTCTTCGGACTACGCTCCGAATGTTCACGGAGATCGCGTGTTCAACACCATGAAAGACATACACTAGGATGAGAAGCCGTAGAGTTTCTCCGGCGGACGAGAATCTACTGGAACTTCACGTCGTCGTGGAAGAGAGTGTCGCGTCCCTGCAAGAGTTGATGGAATGTCCTCGCTCGACGAGGGTTGCTTTGGAGGCTAAGTCCATCACATCCTTGGACTCTTCGTGTCTTTGACATATGACAGAGAAAGGAGAGAGCCCAACCCCGAGGACCTGTCAAGAGGAAGAAATCTCGTACTTTCTAAAGACCTTGTCGAGGATTTGACCAGTGGCCAAGGGTTTGTTTTCTTGTTTGATGCCAAGCGGGGAAGCAATGGTGCGTATGTCCAGGTGACATTGAAGGGTTCTGTAGTCGCTAACTTTCGAACAATCGGCCAGGGACGATGGATCTCAGGTATGTCGTCGTCAGAGGCCACGTTGCAGAGGTTGTGGATGCGAGTGGCCAGATTTACTCCGTATTTGGACGTGAAGGTTTTGTTCCTCGAGTGCGCTCGAAGTTCAGTTGTTCACGGTTGACGTTGTGAGTGTGTTCTTGGATGCCGGCCACTCCCGCGTTGAAAGTGTCGTTTGTTAGTCCAGGTCCGGTGGCGCCTAGGGAGTGAGCAGCGGACGATTGACTGAGTTTAGGCATCGTTGGAGAGCCATGACGTTGGCAGGGAGACCAGAGTATTCCCCGGTGATGCGTAGGAGAGAGCCGCCAGCATCGCGGGTGCAAACAGCGCGAAACCATTGGACGAGAGGGATGATGGCATTTTGACGGGCGACTTCGGCATGAGTGATCTCGGGAGCAAGGATGAGGTTTCGGAACTGGACGATGGAGTAGCGACCGGTAGGTACTTGAGTAAGGGCACGCGAGGTCAGTTAGTGAGGAAGAGGCATGACGCGACGGGATCGGTAGGTGTCAACATCCGCTTCGCCTGGTCCATGGGGACCGGAGTGAAGGGTAGGAGGGTCGTCTCCTAACATGTCGGGACCATCCAAATGGGCAAGTGTCTTGCAGCGTGTCTCGGCGACACGTTGGAAACTGGTGTTAGGAGCGACCGTGTGAAGGTCGTTTCCGGTGAGCACAACAGCGAGGTTGTCGTAAGGAGAGGCGCGTTCGAAGTCAGCGGGGTATGTGAACAAGGAATGCCCGACATGGATGTAGTCTTCATCACCGGTGAGAACGAAGGCGACGAGAAGAGGAGACCGCGTGACGGCAGAGCACAGGGTAGTTTGAGTGACGTTACTGTTCGTGTCAACGTTACCACCGACATGGGTCAGAAGAGCGGCATAGTCAAACTCGGGTGCGTCCCAGTGATTTCCGCGGTCAACGAGAGTAGAGAATAAAGCGGTGGCCATGGTCGAGAAATTTCGAAGAGATTTAGACCCTGATGCCGACGCAAGAGGTTAATCTATTCTAGTTCTTGCTTGCAGCTCGGCTGAAGGAAGAATTGTGAGCAGAGAAGGAGACAACCTTCTTGCATCGACTGTTCAATGGCTGAAAGAGAGTTGGACCGTCTTGCTGTTGTGTTCTTCAAGGTTGCTATCTGTGAGCGGTCTTCGAGGGGTGCTATTGCCTTAGAGTGATCTTGCGAAGGAGGCGACATAGCGACATGTATGTGGGGTATCCATTTCAGGAACGCAGGTGATGACCTGAGAGATGTAGAGATGTACTTGATGAGTAGGAGCGAAGTGTGGGAATCGATTTCGTGTTTTGTGAGATGGTACAGTTTGGCAACTGTGAGTCGAGTCATTCGTCGAAGAACCCATGAGGGTTCAGGTTTCCACGCCAGGCAGCGTGGGCAAATAGGGATCAGGATCGTTGTCCTCTTTTGCGTGCGGCTGCTCGACAAGTAGTGGTCAACGAACCAAAACACGAACATTCACCATAAAGTAGGATTTAGTATATGACGTGGAAAGTTACTACGAGTAAGGGTCCGAGGGAACTATGACGAGGATTGGGTTAAGAGTGGGACCTCCAGAGTATGAAAGAACGGATTTATGAATGTAGCGCTTCTGACGGAAACTATCCGACAAATGTCTGAGAAACTGACGACATTCACGACCAACCGCGACATCGTGTTAAAACTTCTGACACTCTCCGACATTCTCCTAAAACGAAGGAGACGAATGAGGCTTAAATTACGGTACTGGAGTTCATCACTTAACATGACTGAAAATGGATTCCTTACGAATGAAAAGGCTCCTAAAAACTCTACAGACCAGAGTAATTACGGTGGCGTGTGCTGACAGCGGATCAATGCAGTGGTCGTCGTGAAAGGTGGTGGTACCATAGCCATTGTCTGAAAACTTGAAATCCTGCGGTCGGGGAAATAGATATCGTGACAAGTAAGCAAAAAGCGGAGCTATAGATTCAGTTGCCAAGGTGGACCCGGATACTACTGGGTACCCGGAGGCATGTTTTCTGAAACTATCAAGTTATGGTCAGGCCTGATTTCAATGGGAGTAATCAAGGGTCGGCGCAGGAATGCTCCATCATACTGCAAGTGGCAGCAGCAGCAGAAGCTGTAGTACTCATGCTCACAGGAAACGAAATAGAGGAATCACATCGATCGGAGTCCGACTCACTCTTCATTGATTCCCTGCAACCAATGTTCAAGAAGACTTTCCATGGACCGTTCTCTTCTCCAGCAACCACCGATCCAGCAGAGGCATAGCATCCTGGATGAAGCAACCCTGACACAAATGTATCCTTCAAAGTCAACCCATTGCCATCAATGTAGTGACCACTAATATGGGAATCATCCACAATCGTACCACCATGAAAGTGGAGCTTGGTGAACTCATAGAGAGAGTTTCCATAATACCAGAGGTCACCATCAACTTCAGCACCCATCATCCTAGCATAGTAGCCAAACATTGGTGTGCCATAGAGCAGCATCGCCATCCAGTTTCCATTTCGGAATTGCCAAACATGGTTGATGTAGATACCAAATGGGCCAGTGAGTCGGCCATGTCTTCTTGGAATCAACATGATTGTTTCAAGAGCTCGTGCCAAAAGAATCCACACAAACAATTGAAGAACAACGGCTGCAGCTAGACCACATGAGGTTATGCCAACTGAACCACTGTTTAAAGCAAGAAGGCCAATCTCAAAAGAAGGTATAAAACAAAGGAAAAGGATCCCATTGAGCAGAATTTGCAAAACCTCAGGTAGGACCAAATCCATGATGAAACGAGACTTGAAAGCCTTGCGGGACTGGTTTAAATCATAGATGCTATCTGAGACATCAGATCTTGGTGGGATTGTGGATTGCATGATCTTGACTCCTGCGCGAAGATTCGCATTGTAACCAATGCTACTGCTGATAATCTCAATCTTGCCATTTCCTCGCTTACTTAAGTCCATGTTGCTGGTAGCAACAAATGATTTGCGGATCTTGACAAAGTCAACTTTGGACGGGAGAAAGATCCTGTATGGGTTGCTGATGCAAGATTCTATGTCCACATCAAGGCCATGGAGGAAAAGGATGATGTGCCAGAGCCTTGTTTGACCAAAGAAAGGAGTAAGAGGCCAAGAAGCTACACCAAAGTGGAAGTCGCATGCCCAATTTGTTGCTTGGCGATAGAGTGAACCACCATACTCGTCGCATGGATCCCGTTTACCAATCAAAACCCACTTGAGTGGAATGCTTGTGAGGAGGGCAAGGAAGGACGATGCTTGAAAAAGGAGGAACCAGTGCAGGATGATCTCATAGCGCCATGTGTGCATGACTTGAATGAGCGTGATATGGACCAAGTAAGACAGTGCAAAAAAATGGTAGGCTTCTGAAAATATCCACATAATCTTGAAAGCGTCCAAAAGGGATTCTTGCCAAACCTCTGATCTGGAATGCTCAAATGGTCCACCATGACATGCTGGATTTCCTTTTGCAAGCACACCATTAGGAACTATTGCTCCCTCTTCAACAACAGACAGTTTCTCCACCTTGCTGCCTTCGCCAATAACGGCCCCCAGACTGACCATTCCAGACACCTGACTGTCTTTCCCAATAATGACTGGGTGGAATGTTAGCCTGGGGCCGCTTGATCCTGTTGAGAGAGAAAATTTCCTGCACCTAATGGGGTACCCAACTGTGGCATAGCTGCCCACCTTCACCAGGTCGAACTCTCGGATGTATGATTCAACCTTGGCTGACCATGCTAGGTCAGCCCCAAGGAGCCAGTAGAAGACCCAAATAAATTTTGTCTCAAGAACAAATTGTCCCACAAAAGACTCCCAGACCTCGATCAGTCTGTCCATGAACCACCATCGGATGTAGTCCCATGATAGGAGCTCAATTTGTTTCTGTTGATACATCCCAATGACAACAAACTTGACAAAGGCCACATCCAGTGAGAAGAAGAGGATATACAGAGGGAAGATCAATGGCAGTATTATCCAAACAATTTGACACCAATATGGTCCACTTTCAGCTGAGATGCACTGATCCAATACCCATGAGGCAAGGAAGTAGGACGGTAAAATTGAGATCAAAACCAAAAAAAGAATCACGATCGAGCCCATGAATTGCATCAACCCAAGCTGTAGCTTGCTGATTGTGATTCTTGGGGGGTTTGCTACAATGGCTGGGTGATTGTCTATGTCTTGCTTTGGAAAGCTTTTGCCCTTTGATGTAACCAAAAACTCTGAAAGTGCATTTGGTGTTGGGTAGAGCTGTTCAAAGTTGGCTGGGAGCACCACATGTAACTCTTCTTCCACCATGTTCCTCAGCCTAGCACTCTTGAGAGAAGTGAGCCCATTCTCAAACCAAGTCTTTGATGGGTCAACATCTGACTCAAAGACAGACTTGATTGTGTTGGTGTACCTGCTAATGTTTTCTGGGCATGTATTGTGTCCTGGAACCTCTAAAACATGAGTGTCAGCACTTGGGACCTTGAGCCAAGCTGGTAGGCTTACCAACCCCCATTGGTCAAACCTGGACAACCAGTACTCTTCATTGAGAGCCATTTCATTTTTGCTGGCTAGTGCCAATTGATTGTTGCTGTGTGGTGGTGGTGGGTAAAATCCAAGCTTCTCAGCCCAGGAGAGGTTGAGTTTTCCAAAACAATGTAGTGCTCTTCTTGATAAGATTGGGTTATTGACAACCTTCTGGGACTCAATTTTCCTTCCTGTTGTCTGTGAAACCAGATATAGACTAGTTATTCTGGCATGTGAGGAAGCTGCATTGACATCTCCAATAATACAGGGCAGCAGTAGTTTGGACAGCATCCATGTCGAAGAGTTCTGATCGCCAATCCCTGCAATCAAACAGACACCACGAAAGTGAAACAGAGTTAGCTCGAGTGCCCCAACACTGGCAAAACATACGTTAAGAAGCAACAAACCAACAAACCAACAAACCAACAAACCAACAAACCAACAAACCAACAAACCAACAAACAAACCAACAAACCAACAAACCAACAAACAACAAACAAACAAACAAACAAACAAACAAACAAACAGGCTTTCTTACATGCTACCACGTGCATGTTCCATGCAATGTACTGATCCTTCCAAGTACTAGTGGAGTGCTCCATCAGGACAATGTCGGACTTGGTCCTTGCTGCCAAAATGGGAAAGGTAGCCAGCAATCTGCCTACCTCTGAATTATTCGTGAGCCCATTGTGTTGCTCAAGCCAAACAGCCTCCAATATATTTAAGCAAACCAGCTTGTTAATTCTTTCAACTTGAGAGTCAATAGTTGGACCTTCTGGGGATGCCAAACTTTGCAGAATTAATTTCTGTAGTGCAAGCACTGACCTATTCTTTATCCAAAGGAAGAATGGCCACTTCCCATACATTGGGTCTTTGTCTGGGATTTCGAGTATCTCTTGTAGTTCCACTGGAACTGCCTGGGCATTGTGACTCTGTGCTTCCCACTCAGCATCATTGTGCAACTTTTGTTTCATACACTCAGGGCTATCCATCATAAAGGTTGTCACCCATTGAAGAACAAAGACTTGGTGCACAAGCTGAGACAGGAAATCCATGGTGTCCTCAATCAAAATCCAATCAGTATTTTCACTAAGGGTGTGCGCGAGCTGGCAGATTGTGGGTTGCTTGTCCTCAATGTGTTTCAAAATTTGAGAGCACATGGTCTTTATTGCTTCTGTTGTCTTCACAGCTTTGAACCAAGATTCACAAATCCCAGGAATTCCATCAAGATTCAGCTCAGAATAGTAAACATCCAACATGGTTGGGACGCACTCAATGGCTTGAACAGCTTCTATGACTATCCCTGGAAGAACATTGCTTGGATAGGTTCTACTTCTTTCCATTGTGACAGTAGGCATGGTGTTCCGCTGGAGATGTAGTAGAACAGAAGACCCTTTCCAATGACCAGCAACAGTTGTCTGCCTAATCACATTCCTCTTCAGCTTGCCAGAGGTGGTCTTTGGAGTTACACCTAGTTTGAGAACAACAACCTCACAGGCAAACAGCCCATGCAGTTCAGAAACCTGGTTGAATATCTGCATAGCCAAGTCTTTGTTTACTGACTTGTCAAACCCTTTGCGAGCCTCCACTGTGATGCCAATTCCATCCTCGCCATACTGGAAAGCCGCAGTGCGCCCAGGGCGGATGATGTCACCAAAGGCGTCATCAATGGATGATTCGACATCTGTTGGGTAGTAGTTCTTGCCGTTGATGATGATAAGATCTTTGGCTCTTCCTGTAACATAGAGCTGTCCATCCACAACCTTGCCCAAATCACCAGTGTCTAGCCAAGTACCCTCATAGCCTGACAAAGCATTTGCAAAAGTTGATATTGTTAGCTCAGGTTGTCCAAAGTACCCAACAGCAACCCGTGGTGACTGTGCCCAGATGCTTCCAACATGTCCATTCTCGACTTCCTTGCCATCCTCAACAATTCGAAGTTTGATGGTCGGGGAGTCAACAGCACCGCAGCATACTACACCCTCAGCATCTGGGCGGGCAGGTCCACCTGTTAGAAGCACAACTGATTCAGCCAGACCATAGTTGTTATAGACATTCCCAGGCTGGATGGAGAGGGTTTTAGCCACTGCTTCCACAACATGGTTTTGTGCAGGTTCAGCACCAAACATTGTGGCCTTCATACAACTCCAGTCAGCTCTCCTGTTGGCCTGCTCCAGCCTCTTGAGAAGTAAGGCATAGGCAAAGTTGGGTGCTGCCGTATGGGTGGCCATGTATGTTTCCACCATATCTGACCACAGCAGTGGTTTGGCAATAAAGTCAAGGGGCGATGCCACCACAAGATGACTCCCAGTGTAGAGGCAGGACATGAATCCTGCAAGTCCCATGTCTTCGGGCGATATCAAGGACACCAATGAGCCATACAAATGGATAGTTCATAATTAAGGCTGGTTTTGGTTGTTGGAACGTACCATGATATTGAGGAACCCATAGAGCAACTTCAGAAGAAGTGTCTAGATCAGTCACGGAAATGCCAGCCCTGCAATTCTCTTCTAGGTTTTGATGACTAATCATGACTCCTTTGGGGCTTCCAGTACTACCGGAGGTGTACTGGATCAAGCAGATGCCTCCTGGTTCTCCCATAAATGTCTCGTACTCTTTGGGCTTTTTGGGGTTGCTCTTCTTAATTGAGAGTTTGTCGGTTCCAATCCACGCAACACCAGTCTTGTAGAGGATGCTGGCTGCCGTCATGGCAGTGGCAAAAGCAGAAGTACTGAGAGCATACTTGGCTCCCGCATCCTGAGCAAATCTGCGGAATTTGGGCATATCAGTCTTGAGCTCGTTAGGGTTGGGTGGATAGATAGAGCAGGGGATGACTCCAATCTTCATGGCTCCAAACATACCAGCCAAGAACTCGAGGCCAAAGGGATAGGCAATCATGACACGGTCTCCTTTTTTGCATCCAAGCTTGAGCAGACGAGCAGCTACAGCATTGGATTGGTCCTCCAGTTGCTTGAATGTGATCTTGTTCTGTTCTTTGCACTTGATGTCGACCCATGTGAACACAATCTTTTCAGGTGATTCCAAGGCATGATAGTTGAGGGCCTCCAGGATGGTAGAGAAGAAAATTGTCATTGCAGTTGTCTTGCTGTGATTTGATACTCTAATTTTGTGAGCTGTTATGGGCCTTCTCGGGTTCGAGGGGTGCTGCGCTACGGAGAGCTTTGCATCCATGGCCGTGCTTTTTGTTGATCTCGCAGGGAGATGGCGAGGGCTGAAAGTAAGCAGAGGTCGCGGAGTGACAAACCTGGTTTGAAGTGTGTATGAAACAATGCTTTGAGTGAGGGCCGTCGGAAACTCCCTTTCCGAGAATCACGCCTGCTTGGCCACCACAAGTTCGTGTGCCATCGTAGCTGTGCGGTCAAATCTGAGCGGAAACGCAACAGACGTTTTCTGTGAGGGGGTTTCAGAGCCGGAAAGTTTATGCACGGTAACAGTGAAGAAAGAGTTACTCAGTAGAAAAGACTTTGCGGCTGAGATCTGTTGTCACCAGTATTACCTGGACCGAAGAACTAGATCTAATGCCAGCGGTGCTTCCTGCTCCCTCCCCCCCATTCGGCTCATTTGGTTTGGAGAAGAAACTGTGTTTGCCATAACCATGCAAAAGCTTGCCAGTGAGCTGGCTTTTCTATTGGCAGCCAAATAGTACGTATAGAATGGCTCAGCTTTACGTACGGGTACGGCAATATTGCTCTGGAATTGGTCGGTGGATCCAGCACCGTAGCAAATGAGCACCGTAGCAAATGAGACAAGTCACAATGCATCCACAACATGAAGGCTACGAGATGCTACCGTAGCTTAACGCACATGGGTGTGCCCTTTCGTGTTACGAAGCCTCTTTGTTCCCTCGAGGTCGTACTTGTTCTATTGTTTGCTCGGTTAGGCCATGAGGTGCTGGATTCCACAAGAGTGTCCACCTTCAGTTATAGTAGACAAAGCCATTTCATCCCAGCATGGATTCGAGCGCTTTCTTAAAAGAATCTGCCACATGGAAACCCGTTGGATACTTACAGGAGCCGCTTCGGCTGGCAAACCGAACAGAAGTTCTAGGGTAGAGTAATGGGACCTAGAGTCTACAGAAGGTTCTATTACTGAGCATGTCAAAAGAAGCAGAACCGGTTTGTTGCGAGAACTTGATGTCTGTATTACCGGGTAGCACCAAAGAATACCGTAGGTACATGCAAAACCCTCACAAAAGTCCAGGACGAGATCTCATGCTTTTGGTGGATGCTCCTTTTCATCGAATTGATTCGGACGATGAAATCTAACCACGGCAAGCAAGGCTCTCCAGGCCCCAGGGCAGAAGCGGAAAGGAAAATGCATGGGTGTCTGCTACGGGTTTGATATCCAATACCGATCGCCCTGCATCGTTGCATGAAGCACGGCTAATCCCCGGCCCTATTGATAACATTTCGGACATCATCAATCGTCAACTGACTCAAGACTACCGTACGGGCCCTGACACCTTGCATTCATTCCCACCCTAGCTTTAACCCATAGAACCTCCTCGTACAATACACGAGACGGTGGCCCTAACTGGCATATAGCAGTCCCGTTCATAACATGCTGGTCAACTCACACACAATGGCACTCTAACCCATGGTAACCACTTCGTACTGCTACCAGTAGGTACCGGTACCACCAGCCATCACATCAACCTCGCGCAAATAGTGGTAGCTAATAGGTGGAGAACTTGATGAAGGTGGGATCGAACAACTTTCTTCCAGCAAAGCCGCCCTCCGCTTCACCCATGGACATCATGTTGCCAAACGAGCATAAGAGTCACCTCTTGTAGCCGGTCTGACAAACTTTCCCGGCACGTATACCATCTTTAACAAGAAGCACAACAGTGGAGATCGACAACACAACAACAAAGACACCATGAAGAACTTTACTACAATCGTCGAATTCCTCAACCACCATGCCTTGGAATCACCTGAAAAGATTGTGTTCACATGGGTCGACATCACGTGCAAAGAACAGAACAAGATCACATTCACGCAACTGGAGGACCAATCCAATGCTGTAGCTGCTCGTCTGCTCAAGCTTGGATGCAAAAAAGGAGACCGTGTCATGATTGCCTATCCCTTTGGCCTCGAGTTCTTGGCTGGTATGTTTGGAGCCATGAAGATTGGAGTCATCCCCTGCTCGATCTATCCACCCAATCCCAATCAGCTCAAAACAGATATGCCAAAGTTCCGCAGATTGGCGGAGGATGCCGGAGCCAAGTATGCCCTATCCACCAGTGCCTTCGCCACTGCCATGACCGCAGCCAGCATCCTCTACAAGACTGGTGTTTCATGGATTGGAACCGACAAACTCTCAATTAAGAAGAGCAACCCCAAAAAGCCCAAAGAGTACGAGACATTTGTGCGAGAACCAGGAGGCATCCAGTACACCTCTGGCAGTACTGGATGCCCCAAAGGAGTCATGATCAGTCACAACAACCTCGTGGAAGACATTTGGGCCATTTCACGAGTATTAGGCACAAACGCTGTGGGAGCCTTGTGGCTACCGCAATATCACGGTAAGCAACATTTTGTGTACCTGCTCCCAAGGGAAAAGAGATTGACTGTCTCCCTGACTTCCAATATTTGACTCTTTCCCTTTCTCAGACATGGGACTTGTGTCGGGATTTATGAGTGCTATCTATGCCGGAGTTCATGTCATCATGGCATCACCTATCGACTTTATCATGAGGCCACTGCTGTGGACTGATATGGTAGAGATCTACCAAGCCACTCATACTTCTGCTCCCAACTTTGCCTATGCATTGCTACTGAAACGGTTGAAACAGGCCAACAGAAAAGCCAACTGGAGTCATGTCACACATGCTATGTTTGCTGCGGAACCCACCCAGAGACATGTAGTGGAGGAGTTGGCACAAACCCTTTCTATCAGACGAGAACATGTGTACAACCTCTATGGCTGGCCGAGGCTGTTGTGTTTCTCACAGGAGGACCTGCCTACCCGGATACCAGTGGGGTTGTTTGCTGTGGTCCAGCAGACTCCCCATCTGTCAAGCTTCGAATTGTCCAGGATGGAAAGGAGATTGAAGAAGGGCAAGTTGGGACCATCTGGGTCCAGTCACCTTGTGTGGCATCTGAGAACTATGGCCAGTCAGAGCTGACTGCCTCTACCTTTGCCAACAACTTGCTGGCTATGATGGCACCTGGCTAGACACTGGTGATTTGGGGAGAGTTGTGGATGGCAGCTCTATGTCACTGGAAGAAGCAAAGATCTTATCATCATCAATGGAAAGAACCACTATCCAACAGACGTGGAGCTGTCCATTGATGAAACTTTTGGAGATGTGATCCGCCCAGGAAGAACCAGTGCTTTCCAGCATGGTGATGCAAGTGTTGGTATTACTGTGAGGGCCGTAAAGGTTTTTACAAGTCAGATAATGAAGACTTGGCTGTTCAAATTGCCAACCATGTATCCCAGGTCCAGGGGCTGTTTGCCTCAGAGGTAGTGGTCCTAAAATTGGGTGTGACACCAAAAACCACCTCTGGCAAGCTGAAGCGAAGTGAGATTAGGCTGACAACGATTGCTGGTGACTGGAAAGAATCTTCCATACTCTGGCTGACCTGTTTGTTACACTGGTTACCTTATTAGCATAGACTTGTACATCATATCAGGTATGATGTCAATATAGACATCACCATGGCCGAAATCTCGAAGACTTCTTTGAAACAGTGTTTGCTGCTAGTAACATGGTCTTAGAAGTTGAGCTGTTTCATAGGATTTGCCAGGTTCGCAAATGCATCAAATGGCCGTTTTTGAATAAGGGGCTTGATATCCACATAAATAATGACTCCTCATGTATTTCCCATGACGAGAATAGGTACGTGCTAAAGCTTAAAAGAGTTCACGACATGAACCCACGCTTTTGGTGGCGGCTCGGTTCGTTGAGTTGCGATGTGGATATAAACAACTGGATAACCTCAAACAAGTGTGCCCTCTTCCTCGATGGTGTACAACCATGCATGTCGCTCAAGGTACTTGCTCCGCATGATCTCCTCTGTTCCACAGCTAGCTAGTTCCGCGCCACCTAACGTTACAACGCATACGGATAGCCATGCACCGGGTTCGAAGTAACGACCATGCGGGGCACCAGGCACGGGGAGATGCATCGACCAACTCGGTGTCCATGACCGCCGAGCCCAATCGCTGCTGCAAATTGCCTCTCTGTCCTCTCGGTCGACTCGTACCGGAATCACACGGGTGAGACTGTACAACGCCGTAAAACGAAAATGGTTTTGAGGCTCTTTGACTCCTTTGCATCTCAGTCTCTGAACATATATGTCGTATTGGATAGCTACCAGTGTGGCGTCACAACTGCATTGTGCCGATTGCTACTAGTAACAGATTGGAGCGCCAGGCCCAGACTAGCTGGAACCGAAGCCAGGCCAGAGGCGAGTTTGGAAAGTGCTTGTGGCAGGCGAACAGGCATACGATACGAGTAGGAAGGACGGCCACCATTTTGGAGATGGACAAGAGCACCTCTCTAGCGCTACTACTGTACCTGGTAGTACCTCAAATCGTGCACCGGGGGTCCAGGATTTAAAGGAGGGTGTCGAATACGGGTAGTTTACGAATGTTATGGAACGTTTCGGAAAAGAACGAAACGGAATCAATCGAATATTCTTCAATCGAATCGAATCAATCGAGAATCAATCGATATGCTGGTACCGGTACCGGTACCGGTAGCTGGTACATGTAAGTGCCGCACCTCTGATATCCAAGTCCTCTTCAACAGGGCAACACCCTAATAACAACCACCAACAGTGATACGGTACCACAGTGATTCCTTACAAGTTTCTGATAAGACCCAACTTCGGGACTCTTTATCCTTTCTTAAAGGATTTAACGGTACAACGACAAACCACGTCTCCATAAACGTGATCCTTTATTGAAATTGCCATCCACAACAGCACCGTGAACTCCAGATAGACTACTCCCGTACCGGTATTGCAACAGTTGGCTTTCGGGAAGTCAGAGTGATGGGACACCAAGGATACTCGAAAGCGTCCAAGATCCACATCGTCTCCAGATAGCATCGTGAGTGTTCGTTTTTCGCTGCTGGTAGCACCAGGTTCTATTACACCAAGCATTTGGTCGTCCTTCTTCCGGTTCGGCTTGGCCGTTTTTGGTCGAGTTGAGTCGATCAGTCCCTGCAGGAGTGTATTCTTTAATTAACCTGATCAGATTGCAGACTAAAATGGATACTCACCCCAAGCTCCAATGTAGACTAGCTAGCTAGGACAGTACCTGTCGCGGTACAGTATGCGGGTAGGACTTGTGTGGAAATCTATCTGATGTTCACTGGAGTTCGAGCAGCCAGCTATGTAGTGCTCATTGGCCCCAAAGACAAGTGGATACATCCGTACAATCGAGTCGAACGCCGCCAGAACCCGAGACCTGGCATCGGATGTGTCCTGCCTTTGACAGACACTACACTGGATTTTTCTGATCAATCACCAGAAACTGGGAAGCAATAAAGCTGCGACCTGCCTGCAGAGTAACTCGCAGGTAAGCATCACCAGTACTTTTGGGTGGCCGTACTGGTACCAGTAGTAGACACGCTCTGTTATGATGCTGGGCAACTCAGGCACAATAATTGTACCAGTACTCACATCAACCAAGCTTCCACACTGGTTTTAATAATGGTGCCCAAGTGCCCATGCAGCCTTGGTTGGTATTTACTGTTTGTTCCTTACTGCCATGAGGTCAGTAAAAGGAGCAGTAATGGCAGTAATGCAGTAATTCCTCAGTAGCAGTAATTATTCACAGTAATTTAAAGCCAATTGAAGGCAGTAAACTACAGTAATTGCAGTAATAAAGGCTAATTACTGTGCTTTTACTGTCATTTACTGGATATTACTGTTGCAAAGGCAGATTACTTACTGCATGGGATTACTTACTGCAGTAATTAGGTGGCCAACAATGGCAGTAATTGGACAGTAAGGAGCCAGTAACCCGGATTTACTGCAGTAAATACCGACCAAGCATGCAGCCACCCTCTGTCCAAAACCTCTCTCATACTCGAGTACTGGTGATCGACTTTTATTTTAAAACATCACGAATAGATAGCAAAAAGGATTTAAGCATTTCTTTTGCGAAGAAAGTTGGTGGACACGGCGGAAAGAACCGTAACCAGTGGCTTCACGCACGATCGATCAATACACACGGTACCAGTACCAACTTGTGCTAGTTAGCACATCATGGCAAACCATCCGGCAATACTAACCACAAAACCTTCCACCCTTCACAAAAGCACAACTCGAAAGGCATCAGCCATTACAACCAAGCAGGAAACAATGAAGTACTTTAGGACCATCGTCGAAGCCCTCAACCACCATGCCTTGGAATCACCTGAAAAGATTGTGTTCACATGGGTCGACATCAAGTGCAAAGAACAGAACAAGATCACATTCAAGCAACTGGAGGACCAATCCAATGCTGTAGCTGCTCGTCTGCTCAAGCTTGGATGCAAAAAAGGAGACCGTGTCATGATTGCCTATCCCTTTGGCCTCGAGTTCTTGGCTGGTATGTTTGGAGCCATGAAGATTGGAGTCATCCCCTGCTCTATCTATCCACCCAATCCCAATCAGCTCAAAACAGATATGCCAAAGTTCCGCAGATTGGCGGAGGATGCCGGAGCCAAGTATGCCCTATCCACCAGTGCCTTTGCCACTGCCATGACCGCAGCCAGCATCCTCTACAAGACTGGTGTTACTTGGATTGGAACTGATAAACTCTTCATCAAGAAGAGCAACACAAACAAGCCTAAACAGTACGAGAGATTTGTGGGCGAGCCAGGAGGCATTTGTTTCATCCAGTACACCTCTGGCAGTACTGGACGCCCCAAAGGAGTCATGATCAGTCACAACAACCTCGTGGAAGACATTTGGGCCATTTCACGAGTATTAGGCACAAACGCTGTGGGAGCCTTGTGGCTACCGCAATATCACGGTAAGCAACATTTTGTGTACCTGCTCCCAAGGGAAAAGAGATTGACTGTCTCCCTGACTCTATATTTGCTCTTTTCTTTCTCAGACATGGGACTTGTGTCGGGATTTATGAGTGCTATCTATGCCGGAGTTCATGTCATCATGGCATCACCTATCGACTTTATCATGAGGCCACTGCTGTGGACTGATATGGTAGAGATCTACCAAGCCACTCATACTTCTGCTCCCAACTTTGCCTATGCATTGCTACTGAAACGGTTGAAACAGGCCAACAGAAAAGCCAACTGGAGTCATGTCACACATGCTATGTTTGCTGCGGAACCCACCCAGAGACATGTAGTGGAGGAGTTGGCACAAACCCTTTCTATCAGACGAGAACATGTGTACAACCTCTATGGCCTGGCCGAGGCTGTTGTGTTTCTCACAGGAGGACCTGCCTACCCGGATACCAGTGGGGTTGTTTGCTGTGGTCCAGCAGACTCCCCATCTGTCAAGCTTCGAATTGTCCAGGATGGAAAGGAGATTGAAGAAGGGCAAGTTGGGACCATCTGGGTCCAGTCACCTGTGTGCTCTGGTACTATGGCCAGTCAGAGCTGACTGCCTCTACCTTTGCCAACAACTTGCCTGGCTATGATGGCACTGGCTAGACACTGGTGATTTGGGGAGAGTTGTGGATGGGCAGCTCTATGTCACTGGAAGAAGCAAAGATCTTATCATCATCAATGGAAAGAACCACTATCCAACAGACGTGGAGCTGTCCATTGATGAAACTTTTGGAGATGTGATCCGCCCAGGAAGAACCAGTGCTTTCCAGCATGGTGATGCAAGTGTTGGTATTACTGTGGAGGGCCGAAAGGTTTACAAGTCAGAAATGAAGACTTGGCTGTTCAAATTGCCAACCATGTATCCCAGGTCCAGGCTGTTTGCCTCAGAGGTAGTGGTCCTAAAATTGGGTGTGACACCAAAAACCACCTCTGGCAAGCTGAAGCGAAGTGAGATTAGGCTGACAACGATTGCTGGTGACTGGAAAGAATCTTCCATACTACTTCAATTCAAGAGGCAGGAATCTCTTACTCCTCTACAAAAGAGTCAACGTCCCTCATTCCTTGAGAGAAGCTTTTCAATGCGTGGCTTTGGAAGTAATGAGTTTTATTTGAATGAAGAAACTGAACATGAAATCATGAAACAATCAATGAGTACTGCTAACTGGATGTTTGAGGAGCTTCCTGATATTGACCTTCACCAAACAAATACCCTCCCCAGCAAAGCTGTGGAAGCTGTTCATGCTGTAGAGTGCAACCCTAACAAGCTGGAGGAGTACTTCTCTGAGCTTCATCTTTCTGGGGTCTCTGGCATTTACGAGGCTTGGTCAAAGGCAACCAAGACCACAGCTGCTATGCAAGCCATGTGCTCACAAATATTGAAGCATCTTGAAGACAAGCACCCAACCATCTGCCAGCTTGCCAAGACTCTCAGTGAGAATCCGGACTGGATTCTGATAGACAACAGGACAGATTTCCTTTTGCAGCTGGTGCACCAAATCTTTGTCCTTCAATGGGTGACAACCTTCATGATGGATAATGCGGAGTGCATGCAACAGAAGTTGCATAACGATGCTGAATGGGATGCCATGAGCAAGAATAGACTGCCAGTTCCTTTGGAGCTACAAGAGATGCTTGACCTTCCAGAACAAGACCCTCTTTATGGGAACTTGCCTTTCTTTGGTTGGATAAAGAACAGATCAGCAGGTGCACTTTTGAGGCTGATGCAGAAGTGTTCGGAATCTCCTGAAGGTCCAACTGTCGAGTCACAACATGAAAGGATGAACAAACTCCTGTGTTTGAATTTGTTAGAGGCTGTTTGGCTTGAACAGAGCAATGGGCTCAAGGCCAATTCGGAAGTTGGGAGGCTACTAGCTTCGTATCCTTGGCTGACATCAAGGACCCAATCTATGATGCCTTTTCTTGAGCCCCCAAGCAGTACCTGGAATGATCTCTACATTGCTTGGAACATGCATTTTGTTTCCTGTAAGTTGTTTTGTTCGTGAATGCTATGCAAGCATGACTGAATTCAACCTAAAGCATCATTTTCTTGTTGTTGTTTTTTACAGGGAGCGGAGATAAGGACTCTTCCACCTGGATGGCATCCAAATTGCTGCTACCCTGCATCATTGGAGATGTCAATGCTGGTTTCTTGCATGCTAGGGCAACAAGCTTGTACCTGGTTGTACAGACCATAGGAAGGAAAACCATGTCTCCAAAGTATTACACCGAATCAGTTTTGTCAAGAAATGCACTTGAGGATTTTGGACTGCTGAACCTTTCTTGGGCTCAAAAACTTGGATACACCCACCCAGCACTGCGAAATGACAAAATAATGGCACTCAATGAAGAAGATTGGTTCCCCCAGTTTGACCAATGGGGAAGAGAATACCTGGAGACCCAGGCAATCAACCCAAACTCTGATATCAAGGCTTCTATAGCCAGTGCTATAGCTACAGACCCAAATGACTTCTCCATCAGATATGCCAATGTAATCAAATCTGTCTTGGGTTCTGAAGTGGACACATCAAAAACATGGGCTGAGAATGGACTCACATCTCTCAAGAGTGCCGAGCTGAGGAACATGGTCGAGGAACAGTTGCATGTGGTGCTCCCCACCAACTTTGAGCACCTCTACCCAACACTGAGTGAACTTTCAGTTTTCTTGAAAGCTTCAGAGAGCAAACGCTTCCCCAAGCAAGATACAGATGATCACCCTGACTTCCTCTGGAACTCAGAAATATCAAAGCTCAGCAAGCTACAGCTAGGAGCATTCCAAACCCTAGGCTCCATTGTGATCCTTTTCTCGATCATGAGCTCATTGGTTCCATCCGGCTTCCTTGTTTCCTGGGTAATGGACAAATGTGGGTCATCTCAAGTTGGAGGCTGCAACGGTCCCATTTTGTGGGTGTTGTTGCCCATGGCCTTTCCCTTATTCCTTCTGTCACTGTCAGTGATTGTAGTACTCTTCAAGTTTGCTGTTGTCGGGAGGTATCAACCAAGACAAATTGATCTTTTGTCATGGGATTATCTACAATGGTGGTTCATTGACAGGCTCATGGAGGTCTGGGAATCAATCGCAGGCAAGTTCCTCAAAGAAACAAAGTACATATGGCTTTTCTACCGGCTCCTTGGAGCAGATCTTGCATGGACTGCAAAGATTAATTCCTACATTCGTGAATTTGATCTTGTCAGAGTAGAGTGCAGTGCCACTATTGGATATCCCATCAAGTGCAGGAAATTCTCTCAATCAGAAGAATCAAACCCCAAAATCACCTTCCGCCCCATCGTGGTTGGAAAGCATAGTAAGGTGTCTGGCATGATCAGCCCTGGAGTCAAGATTGGAGAGGGAAGCAAAGTGGAGAAGCTATCAGTTGTTGAAGAGGGGGCCTTGGTGCCGGCTCATGTCCTTGCCAAAGGCAACCCAGCATGCAATGCAGGCTCATTCGAACATCAAGAAACGAGCTCTTTTGAAGAGTCTATGTTGGATGTCTTCAAGATTGCTTGGACAATCCTTGAAGCATACCATTTCTTTGCACTGTCATATCTCGTCCATATGATACTCAACAAACTCCTGCCCGCCTGGCGCTATGCTACTATCCTCCATTGGTTCTTACTTGTTCCTGCCACTTCATTTCTTGCCGTCCTCACCAGCATTCCTCTCAAATGGTTTTTGATTGGGAAACGCAATGCATCAGATGGATATGGAGGTTCACTCTGGAAACAAGCATCCAATTGGGCATGTGACTTTCACTTCCAAACAGCTTCGTGGACTCTGATTCCTTTCATTGGGCAGTCCAAGGTCTGGCACTTAATCCTTTTCCTCCATGGCCTTGATGTTGATATGATATCTACCCTCAGTCACCCATACACAATCTTCTTCCCCTCCAAGGTAGATTTTGTGAAGATTCGGGCTTCTTTTTTCCCTACCAGCACTCTTGACCTCAGCACAAAAGCAGACTCTAAGATTGAAATCATCGACAGCAGTATTGGGTACAATTCCAATCTTCATGCAGGAGTCAAGATTATCAAATCCAAAATCCCACCAAGGTCCAATGTTTCTGATAGTGTCTACAATTTGAATCATTCGGACAATTCAGAGAAGCTCAGCAGTTCTAACTTGCTTCTTCCAGAGTTAGGACAGCAACTGTTGAATGTGGTTCTTTTCTTCAGCATTGTTCCTGCCTATGAGATTGGTCTTGCTGCCACAAAGGCTTCCTCCTTGGGCATTGGTGCATTTGGTTTGGCAGTTGCTTTTACTCTGCAACTCTTTGTTTGGATTCTGTTGACCCAAGCGGTCGAGAAGATCTTATTGAGTCTTCCACACGCTGCTCAGCAGATTTTCTTTGGTATCTACATCAACCATGTAAGACAATTTCAAGCTGCAAATTGGCTTGTAATGGTTCTCTGCGGCACACCCATGTTTGCCTACTTTGCACGATTCCTGGGGGCTGAGGTGGACGGTGACCTCTGGTATTTTGGAAATTCTCTGTATGAGTATGGCAAACTCCACTTCCAAGGTTGCACCATTGTTGACAGTGCCCATGTGGCTGGACACTACTTTGATGGCAATGGCCTTACCATAGATGACACCTATGTGTCTGGATTGTTGCATCCGGGTTGCTATGCCTCAGCTGGGGCAAGAGTATCTGCTGCCGAGCATGGTCCATGGAAGCTCTTCTTAAGAAATGATATGGGTGCCCAGGATTCAAAATGTTCCTTGAGCGATGTGGAGAGTGCTGAGGGGAGTACAGGCAATCTGATTGAAACTCAGCATGGCGACTCTATCCATCAGATACCACCTGAGTTTGAAGTGTAGTTCAGTAGGACCTGCTTTTAATTGATCGGAACACTGAGCAGCAGAATAATCTAACCTTCAACGGATCTGAATGCTACAGTATAGTTATTGTTGACTTTGAAACAGAGCTAGCTGCCCAGCTATACCAGTAGAGTGCCAGTCATCTGAGCTTAGGAGGCTGGCGAGCGTTCCTTTGGGAGAGTGGCAGGGAACTTGGAGAGAAAACTAGCTGGTTAGATAGAGGGACGGTGTGGCAAGATCTCTATAGCTAGCTAGCTATCTGCCATGGCTAGCTAGCTAGCTAGCTATCCTATCCAGCAAGCTAGCTAGCTATGATCGCTATTAGCTAGTGCAGAGAGAGAGAGAGAGAGTTCGAGATGAGAGAGAAAGATCGGTTGTCATGTCATCAAAAGGGGGCTTGGATTTTAAAAATCTGCGACGACCTTCGAGGCGGTTGGATGAGGAGAGAGGGGAGCTTCGCAGCAAAGGTTCCTTCCACGTGTAGTCCATCGGTTGAAGTTTGCAAAGATCCAAGCACGGCTGACTTCTTCCAGAACTTTCCAAGCCTTCCGCAGAGATCTTTGAGGTCCCGCAGCAAATCTTTGGCCGTTGCCTACGAATTATCGATCGACTGTGCAAAATCGTCCAGGTCTGCGCCTTGCGTTACAATTGCTTGGCGAAGGTACCGGTGGCATACATGCATCCTTGCTGTTGACTGGTGTCCTATCGTACCATATCCTATCGACAGGTTGCTCAAGAGGCCTTGAATTTGCTCAGCAGCAACAGCAGCAGCTTTTGTTCTGAATTCTGAATTTTCTCACGGAAACCTCAGTCTTACTGTTGCACCACCTTAAGCTACCTGAAGTCGAGCCTAAGTCGAGCCTTAGTCGTCTTAAGACAACTGAAGCCGTCTTAAGCCACCTGAAGCCACCTGAAGCCACCTTAAGCCACCTTAGCTACCCTGAGCCTGCCTTAGGCCGTCTTAAGCTACTTTAAAAAGTCCAAGCCCACACGTCCAAGCCCACACACACACAAAGACACGAAGATGCGACTCTTTTACATTTTTCAGGAAGGTCTTGCCATTCCCATCGAGACGGGCGCCGGACTAGACGACGTCTTGAGTCTTCAAAATGCCGTCAAAGTGTTGCAGCAATTGGACTCATACGAGACGGATCAAATCCACGTCTACCCCGCCGGGACTACGAAGGACTCTTGTACAAGCCAAACGCCTCTGAAATCGACGGACAAATTGCCGACGGATACTTCCACGAGTCACGCCGTCTACGTCCATGTTCCCAACTATACTCCTCCCAAAGACGGCAAATCCAAACGATTGTCCATGGCCAGTATTCCCGCGGGCCCGGCTCCCACTCCCAAACCTCGCAGGGGTTCCATGCCCGTCGTGGAATCCCAAAAATCCAAAGAACGTCCCGACTATCTCAAACGCAAATATTACATCAAATACGGAAAACAATCCATTCAAGTGCTCATGGATCCGGAAGAACCCTTTTTACAACTCCAGCACGAAGTCGAACACTCCACGGGAGTTCCCGTCCGAGAACAAAAATTCTTTTACAATGGCATGCACAAACCCTTTGCATCTGATAAAACGTTGCGACAGTACGGATTGCAAGCGGGAGGTTTTTTCAATCTCGTGCGACAAGAAGTGGCGGATGATGGGCGGGGTCCACGACGATCCACTTTTGTGGCGCAAGGAAAATCCCCGGATGAGTTACTGGCGCATCGACGACAATCGGCCATTACGGCTGCCCAGCAGGAAGAAGCGGCCCGGCTTCAAGCCGAACAACAAGCGGCGCGACTCGAAGCGGCACGACGCAAATCCCAAGAAGAAGCGGCACGACGCAAGGCGGAAGAAGAAGCACGGCAACGAGCTGCCGAAGAAGCACGTCAAAAGGCTGCCGAAGAGGAAGAAGCACGACGATTGGCGGAAGCTCAACGTGCGGCCGAAGCGGAAATTGCTCGATTGGCCGCCGAAGAAGCGGCGGCCGAACAACGACGATTAGAAGAGGAAGAAGCCAAACGAGTGGCCGCGGAACGAGCCGCCGAAAAGAAACGTCGCGAAGCAGCCAAGGCAGCAGAAGAGCAACGACGCATCGATGCCGAAGCGGCACGACGAGCCGTTGAAGAACAGCATCGAAAGGAATTGGCGGCGGCGGCTGAAGAAGAAGCCAAACAAGCCGAACAAGACGCCCAACGACGGGCCGCCGAAGAAGAAGCCAAACGACAACGAGAAGCCGAAGAAAAGGCTCGTGTGAGAATTCTGACCGTGGCCACACCAGATGGACAAATTTTGACCGTCACATTGGATGTAGATGATACCATTGGGGATATCAAGGATGCCATTGCCGATGACTGTCACATTCCTCCCTTCAAACAAGTACTCAAGTTCAAGGGAGAAGAACTACACAAAAATTACAAGACACTGGAGCAAATGGAAATTCCCGATGGAGCCAGGCTCACAGTGGAACCATTCCAAATCCCCATCAATGTCAGACTGCCCGATGGAAAACTCCTGGAAAATATCATGGTGGATCCCACAGAATCCGTGGGGGATCTCAAGGAACAACTGGAAGCCCACAAGGGATGTGATGTGCCAGCCGACAAACAAACCCTCCTTTTGAACCGAAAAGAATTAGACGATCCCGTGCGAAAGGTCGAAGATTACGGGGTCCAGCCAGGCAGCACACTGGACATGGCACCCACATCCATTAATGTGTCGGTCCGAACACCCTACGGGAAAACCATTCCCGTGGAAAACGTCAAATTGACGGACTCGATCAAATCCATCAAGCAACGCATTGCTCCCGAAGCAGGATTGGCTGTAGAGCAGCAAGAACTCTCGCTCAATGGACAGCCAGAGTTTCCCAACAACAAAACCATACGAGATTGTGGAATCAAGGACGGGGATGTGCTGGACGTGGGAATTTCCAAGATCCCCATTACAGTCCGGAATACAATGACTGGCAAACAGTACACACTCAAAATTGATCCCACCGAAACAATCTCCAGCATCCAAAAGAAATTGGAGACAGAATCGGGAGTCCCAGTCAACAATCAGAAATTGTCGTTCAATGGCAAGGAAATTGATGATCCCAATAAGACGGCAATCTTTTATGGCATCAAAAAGGGAAGTGTAGTGGACTTGGAACCCAAAAAGATCAAGGTCTTTGTCAGAACTCCCGATGATAGGACGCTCGAAGCCATGGTCAAAACGTCGGACCTCGTCATTGTCATCAAGGACACCATCTCACCCGATGTAGGATTGACAATTCACCAACAGCATCTCTTCTTCAATGGAAACGAATTGCCCGATGACAAGACGGTAACGGAGATGGGAATCAAAGATGGCGATTATCTCTTTTTGGATCAAGTCAGGATCCCCATCACGGTCGTCAATGCCGTCGATGGGAAGGAGATCCCCATGATGATTGACCCGACAGAGCCAATTTTGGCCATCAAGCAACATCTGGTAAAAGAGACTGGCATCCCCCTACAGAGCCAACAACTCACTCTCCATGGCAAGGAATTGTTTGACCCAGAGCAGCGACCGGTGGATTGTGGAATTGTTCATGGCAGCACACTGGAATTGGAACCGCATGCCATCTTTGTCCAAGTCAGAACACCGGATCATGGAACGATTCCAGTCCGAATCAAACCATCCGGCAAAATATTAGCCATCAAGAATAAGGTCGCGCCAGAGACTAAAATTGCCGTGCCACAGCAGGTTCTGAAATTCAAAGGCAAAGAATTGCCCAGCAGGACCACAGTTATGGAGCACGGCATCCAAGACGGCGACATGTTGGACCTAGATGTGTATAAGGTTCCCATTATCGTGAGACAAATGCACGGGGACCCAATCCAACTGGTTGCTGATCCCGCCGATACCATCTCCAAAATTCAGCAACAAATTGAAAAGGAATCCGGTATTGCGGTGCCCAACCAAAAGCTGTCCATGAATGGCCACGAGTTTGGTGACCCAGAGAAAACTGTTGCCTATTACCGCATCAAGCCAAAGGCCATTCTAGACCTAGAGCCAAGGGATATTGAAGTGTTGGTCCGGACTCCCGATGACGACAAGAAGACCATCCCGGTCAAAGTGCAGCCTTCTAGCACAATCCGAGGAATCAAGAGCAGGATTGCTCCGGAAACAGGTCTGACAATGGCACAACAGATTCTGAGGTACAAGGGCAAGCTGTTGTCCAATGACAGGACTGTTCGGGATCTTGGACTGAAGGATGGGGATATTTTGGATCTCGATCTCTCTCACGAAGAGAAGGTTGCCAGAGACCAGGAAGCCCAACGTAAAGCCGAAGAGGAATATGCAGCATTTCTGGAAGAGGAAAAGCAGCGAGCCAAAGAAGAAGCCAAGCGGCAGCGAGAAGCTGAAGAAGCAAGAGCTCGTCGTGCAGCCGAGCAGGCGGCCAGAGAACAAGAAGAACGGCGTCGACTTCGCATCATCACCGTGGCCACTCCAAGTGGGGAAGTCCTTACAGTTACAATGGATAAGGATGATACCATAGGCGAAATAAAGGATGCTATTGCAGATGATTGTGGCATTCCATCCTTCAAGCAGGTGCTCAAATACAGAGGAGAAGAACTTGCCAAAGACTACAAGACATTGGAGGATATGGACATCCCTGATGGAGCCAGACTCATGGTGGAACCATTTGAAATTCCAATCAAAGTCAACACTCCTGATGGCAGACAGATTGGCATTATCGTGGATCCTACAGAGTCAATAGCAGATGTGAAAGAACAGTTGGAGGCAGAATCTTGCGGGGTACCAGCCGACAATCAAATCCTGTTTTTCCAGGGAAAGGAGTTGAACGATCCCATCCGCAAGGTGGAAAACTGTGGGATCAAGGCAGGCAGTGTCCTAGATCTCAAAGACGAGGCCAAGCTGAAGGCCGAGGAGCAAGCGCGGAGAAAGGCAGAAGAGGAATCCAACAAACGCGCGAAGGAAGAAGCTGGCTCCGTATGGGCTCGCAACAAGGGCCCCCTGGACGAACCCGAAAACCCTGTTTCCAATGTGGTTTATGATGGAATTGGCCTCGCTCGTCATCCCAAGAAACCACCTCCTTTGGACATGCAAAAGGGCGAGTCTATGGAAGAGCTCGACGCTCCAGATCCTAATGTCGTCGTTTACGATGGCATTGGTCTTGCTCGAAGCCCGAACAAGCCACCGCGCGAGCCAGCAAAGAAGGAAAGGAGGCGCAGCTCTACCAGCAACAAACCAAAGAAAACCAAGAGCAGTGAAGACGAAGATGATGGTCCTGGTGAGTGCCCTCAAATCAATTGCTTCTACTCATTGATGAGGCCAATCGTTTCCTTCTCCCTAGCTAGCCTTACCCTAATGTTGTTTGCTCGTCGTAAACTCTATTCCCAAGTTGGCTGGTCTGTTGAACCGATCAAGTACCAGTACACACCTGAACCGATGGACATGTCAACCCAACGTTGCTGGTATCAGCTAGAGGCCGATATCGTCCCATATTACATCAGATTTAATGGTTGGGAGAAAGGAGAAGAATTGAAGCAGCATATTTTGGCCACTCGCCGTGTAGGCAGGAACGCAGCTTTGTTGGAAGGCGCAGAACCATCCGATCTTAAGCTATTTGCTCCTGGTGTCGACGAGGCCTCAGGAAATGAGATTGGCGCAGGTGATGTCCTTCCAGGTGGCACCTCAGAAGCTGATCCAATTCTTGTCATTGTCAAAGAAGCAAAGGGTGTTGGCCGCAAGTTGACACCCATTGTTGGCGAGAGCTAGCTAAAGAGACGCAGAAGGGTTTGTTGCTTTGTGCATGTGCTTCTCGACATTCGTTGTTTCAGCTCGACCCGAAGATTTCATCACTGTATAGGCTAGGTGTCATGTTTGCTCGCAAAGCCTTTCGGCAGCGTCTTTTGGTAGTACCGTAGCACCCCTGTTTGCAACTTGATCATCTGGCCACAAAGGATTGAACGATGAACGCTGCCATCTTTATTGGGTCTCTACTACTAGTGGTGGTTTCGTTTCGTGGCCTACTTTGCCTTTCGGCTTGCATCACTCGGGCTCTCTGTGTGGTTCACCGCGAGAAACCAAATGGGTTTGACGTGGAATTCGTGTGGCTTGATAGCACTCGGCTGCCTATGATCGATATCATATCCAGCGATGTGCCATTCCATCCGGCACCCATACTCGGGGTAGCTTGCAAAACATCAGAGCTCATGATTCCTTCCGTGCTTTCCGAGTGTCTGCTATCCCGCCCAATGTGGGGGGTCGGCACCAGCCAGCCGCTGTAACTACACGCGGCATTTGACCAACAGTGTTCACTGTCCTGCTAGCTAGGTCTAACTGCCACTGCCACACTGCTGGCAAAGCTCTTTGCCCCATCGTCCATGAGTTTCAATCGTCTGTTCAATGGACATTCTCAAAGCACGATGCCAGTACCTAGAAAACAGGAAGACGCATCGTCTGCATGACCCCTCTTTTGAGCTACCTACTCTTTTAAAAAGCAACCCCCTTGTTCGCACGCAAAAGATTCACTACAAGGGCTGAAAGCGAGCAACATGACCTCATTGCATTTTTAATTGATCCTTTTAACTATACTTCAAAATCACAGGTTTCCAGGTCCTGCTGGGCCGAGTAGCCACTGAGGCTTGCACCTTGGAGACCTTGACTTGAATGGTTGTTATTGGCAGGATCATTGCCAACAGGCAATGAGAGAGATGAACCAAGATGGTTGGAGGTGGCATCCCCTGGTGGTGTTTGTGTCGATTCCTTGGTACCATCACCACTTGTTAAGAAGAGCTTCCAAGGACCATTTTCTCCAAATCCAACAGAACCTGCAATAGCAACACACCCAGGATGGAGAACCCCAGACATAATAGTGTCATCAATTGATAGCCCATTTCCATCAATAAAGTGACCGCTCACGTAAGAACTGTCAATAATGGTGCAGCCGCGAAAGTGGAGCCGGCCAAATTCATAAAGTGTATGGCCAAAAAACCAGAGATCACCATCCACCTCAGCACCCATCATGCTCGCATACTGTCCAAACATGGGTGTTCCATACAGAAGGTAAACAAGCCAGTTTCGAACACGGAAAAGCCAAACATGATTGATGTATGCCCCAAACAAAACTTGCTGAGCCCGAGAAGGTAGATTCAAGAGTATCCGTTCAAATGCCATGGAGGAGAGGTTCCATACAGTCATTTGCAACACAACAGCAGCCATCAAACCTAGCACAGCACTGGTGGCTGATGAGCTTGTTGTAGCCACATGCCCAACTTCAAAGGAAGGTATGATGGATGCAAAAAGGACCACATTCAACGCCTGTTGTGCGATTTCAGGTACGACCATGTCCAGAATCAAGTTCGGTTGGAAAGTCAGGCCCGATTGGTTCAAGTCCATGACACTTTCAGACACATCCGCTCTTGGAGGGAGAACAGAATGCAAAATTCTAATGCCAGCATGAAGGTTCACCCCATAACCAATGCTGCTGTTGATGATCTCAATCGTTCGATCTGCACATTCATGGTTCAGATCAAGAGAGATAGTGCTAAGAAAGGAGTTGCGAATCTTGACATAGTCAACCCTGGAGGGAGTGAATTGGGTATGAGGGTTGATATTCAGCTCTGAAACCATGTCGACATCCAGGCCGTGGGAAAAAAGAATGATAGTCCAGAGTTTGGAATGACCAATAAATGGAGTGATGGGCCAAGCTGCGATGTGAAAGTGGAAGTCGCACGCCCAGTTGGTTGCTCGCCGCCACAGAGAACCCTCATATTTATCTGATGGATCTCTTTTACCAATCAAAAGCCACTTTAGGGCAATGCTGGTGAGCAGAGCAAGGAAGGATGCCATCGGAAATAGCAAGATCCAATGCAAAATGCCACTGTATCGCCAAGAAGGCAAAATCAGGCTGAGTGTGGCATGCACCAAATAGGAAAGCATAAAGAAATGATAAGCTTCAAAGATTGTCCAAACTATCTTGAAGACATCCAACATAGATTCTTCAGCAGAGCTTGCTTTTTGGTGTTTGAACGAGCCAGCATTGTATGCTGGGTTTCCTCTGGCAAGAACACCGTCAGGAACTAATGCTCCCTCTTGGACAACTGACAGCTTCTCCACTTTGCTGCCATCTCCAATCTTGGCTCCAGGGCCAATCATGCCAGACACATGGCTGTTGCTTTCAACCACAATGGGACGGAAGGTCATCAGTGGGCTAGTTTCATTGGAAAGAGAGAACTTCCTGCACTTGATGGGATACCCAATAGTGGCATTCCCCCCCACTTTGACAAGATCAAATTCACGGATGAAGGATTCAATCTTGGCAGACCATGCCAGATCTGCTCCAAGCAGCCAGTAGAAGATCCAAATGTACTTCGTTTCCACATAAAATGGTCCCACAAGAGACTCCCATACTTCCATGAGCCTGTCCATGAACCACCAGTGAAGATAGCTCCACGACAAGAGCTCAAAATGATGATGACGGTATGTTCCAATGACAGCATACTTGCAGAATACCACAATCAATGAGAAGGAGAGGATGAACAGAGGGAAAGTTGCAGGCAAGAGCACCCAATTCAATGGACCATTGCAAACGCCGGTTTCACTTGAACCACATTGGTCCAATACCCATGAGACAAGAAAGAAGGACGGAACAACGGAAATTAACAGCAGTTGAAGGATCACAATGGAGCCAAAAGTCTGCAGGACTCCAAGCTGAAGTTTGCTGAGCTTAGATCTTGTTGAACTCCAAAGGACGTCGGAGTGGGTGCATGCTTGATCAATAGGAAAGCCTCTGCCTTCTGATGCTTCCAAGAAGGCAGAAAGTGCCTTCGGTGTTGGGTGAAGCTGTTCGAAGTTTGCGGGAAGTACCACATGCATGGCTTCCTCCAGCTTATTCCTCAGCTCAGCACTCTTTAGGGAGGTAAGTCCATTCTCTGTCCATGTCTTGGATGAGTCAAACTCTGACCCAAAAACAGACATGACTACATTGGCATATCTAGCAGAAAAGTTGATGTTGGTTGGTGCCTGGATATCTGACAGTACCACCTCAGCGACCGCTTTGCTGATCAACTGATTGGATGGCACAGGTGTCTCTCTCTCTAGAACTGGATGTGGAACCATACTGCAAGCTTCAAGTATTGCATTGGCAGCGAGGATTCCACTAACAACGGCATCCTCATGTAGCATTTTCCCTCGTGTCCATCCACCAGCAAAGTAGGTAGAATGCTTCCCTTGATTCTGCAGCAAAGAGTTTCTGAGCTGGATAGTTTTGCATGTGATTTTTGTGTGTGTGAAAGACATCTTTTCCACTGGAGAATCAAACTCAAGCTTTTCATGTGTGGCATATGCATGTGTAACGTAGACGGGTGTTTTGTGGTCAGTGTCTGAGGAGAGAGTGCCCAAAAAGGTGAGATTTTACGTGCACAAGATAGATTCCAAAGATATGCCAAGGAAATCTGCACTCACCGCTTACTAGGGAGGTTGTGATTGGAACTGTATCATTGAAAGATGGCAATGATGCCCCATAATCTGGAATATTTGCCACGATTTTGTTGGGTTCTGTAAGATCTGACCATTTTGAGTCCTGGTGAAGCACAACAGTTTCCAGAGGGCAATAAAATTCAGCCAGCACTTGTTCTTGGGGTGACATGCCTAAACCAAGAACTTTGACTGCCGAATTTGGCGGAACAGCCAGCACAAGCTTGTGAACCTCCAGTATCTCCTCGTTGTCATTCTTGCTGGTTCTTATTGTGACGCCAGTAGCATCACGGCTTACTACCTCAGTAGAAACATTGGTCCTCATTTCAACACCCAGGCTCCTCAGTGTAGATTCAAATCTTTGCATGTAGTCCTTGTTACGTAGCCGCAAAAGATCGTTCTTGCTGATGCTTGCAGAGACAACAAACCAAGCAACTAGTTCCAGTGGAATATTGAGGTAGTCTTGGATTGTTTGCCCAGGGAAAAAGCTAACAATTTTGCCAATGTAGAAGTAGACAATGAAATGTTGATCAAATCGACTCCGAATGAAGTACTGGCCAATTGTCTCATCTTGCCCAGTACCAGCTTTGTGTATGATCTGCATTTGTCCAATAAAACGGTTTGCTTCAGCTTGTGACACGGAAGGAATTTCCTTCTCTCCCATTGTGACAATGCCTCGAGAGTGTCTGGACTCAGCAAGGCAAAGTGCCTCTACTTCAAGTTCTTCAGTCAGAGCGATTAGATTTGGTGACTCTTCTGCAAGAAACACACCGAAAGCAGGATTCCGTTCATGCCCAAAAACTTCCACGTGTCTAGCATGTCCGCCAATTTTCTCATTGCGTTCCAGCAGTGTGACGTTGATGTTTCGTTGAGCCAATCGTAGTGCTGTGACTAGGCCAGCAGCTCCAGCTCCCACAACAGCAACATGCAGCTGCTCTTTATAGTCTGAATCAAGTGATCGACCTGGAAAAGACATTGACCTCTGCAATAGTGTGTTTTCAGCATCTTCGGCAAGGTAGAACTCACAGCTAGCAACACCTTTCATTGAAAAGCTTCTCTCCAGGAAAGAAGACCTCTTACCCTTGGCAAGAGGAGCAACAACTTCCCTCCGTTCAAAGTGTAGCAGCACAGATGATGCTTTCCACTCACTTGCAAGAGTAGTCTGCCTGATCAGACTCCTCTTAAGCTTTCCAGAGGTTGTCTTTGGTGTCACACCAAGCTTGAGAACAACTACCTCAACAGCAAACAGCCCATGCACTTGAGACACATGATTGGCTATGTGGACAGCCAAGTCTGATTTTGATGATTTCTCAAAGCCCTTGCGGCCCTCCACTGTGATACCAACACTGTCTTCCCCATGCTGGAAGGCAGTGGTTCTGCCTGGGCGGATATCATGACCGAAGAGATCATCAATAGAGAGCTCCAAATCAGATGGATAGTAGTTCTTGCCATTGATAATGATGACGTCTTTGACTCGTCCGGTGACATAGAGCTGCCCATCCACGATCTTTCCCAAATCTCCTGTGTCTAGCCAGGTTCCATCATAGCTGGGCAATGCATTTGCAAAGGCAGCGGTGCTTAGCTCAGACTGGCCATAGTAACCAGCTGCCACTCTAGGTGACTGGGCCCAGATACTTCCAACATGTCCTTCTTTAACCTCTTTTCCATCCTCGACAATTCGGAGCCTAAGGGTTGGGGAGTTTACTTCGCCACAGCTGACCAGCCCCTCGGAATCCGGATAAGCTGGGCCGCCAGTAAGAAACACCACTGATTCGGCCATACCATAGATGTTGTATAAATTCTCAGGCTTGATGGAGAGGGTCTTGGCCACTGCAGCCACAATGTGACTTTGAGAAGGTTCACCCCCAAACATGGCTCGCCTTACACAACTCCAGTCAGCTGTTCGGTTGGCCTGTTGCAACCTCTTGAGGAGCAAGGCATAGGCAAAGTTGGGGGCACAGGTAAGGGTGGCCTTGTAGGTCTCTACCATATCACTCCAGAGCAGAGGATTGGCAATAAAATCCAAAGGGGATGCCATAACAAGATGAATACCTCCATATATGGTAGACATGAACCCAGCCACAAGCCCCATGTCTATAGGATAAGGAAATAGGCGTCTGGAGTGAGTGATGGATGCAGTCAAAATGTCAATTCTAGAAGTCAGGGAGACAGATATTTGGCCATACCATGATATTGAGGAACCCACAGGGCTGCAACAGTTGAACTGAGTACATCAGTATCTGACATGCAGGAAATACCACGAATATTTTCCACAAGATTGTGGTGACCGATCATGACTCCTTTTGGGCGACCAGTACTACCGGATGTGTATTGGATGAAGCAGATGTCTTCTGGTTCTCCCACAAATGTCTCGTAATCTTTGGGCTTGTTGGGTTTGCTCTTCTTGATTGGTAGTTTGTCTGTTCCGATCCACGTAACACCAGACTTGTAGAGGACACTTGCTGCGGTCATGGCAGCAGCAAACACGTTAGTCGAAAGAGCATACTTGGCTCCAGCATCCTCAGCAAATCCACGGAACTTGGGCATATCTGTCTTGAGCTGATTGGGATTGGGTGGATAGATGGAACAGGGGATAACTCCAATCTTCATGGCTCCAAACATTCCAGCCAAGAACTCAAGGCCAAAGGGGTATGCCACCATGACGCGATCACCTTTCTTGCATCCCAATTTGAGAAGACGAGCCGCCACAGCATTGGATTCATTTTCCAGCTGCTTGAATGTCATCTTGTTCTGTTCCTGGCACCTGATATCAACCCAGGTGATTACAACCTTATCTGGGGTTTCAGAGGCATGATAGTTGATGGCCTCAAGGATGGTGGAGAAAACCTTCATTTTTGTTGATGAGGATGTGAATCTGGTTGCTTGATTACTTCTTACTTGTTGGCTTGCTTTTAAAAATTCCTTTGATACGAGAAATTTTATGAGAGTTTCTTGGCTGTTTGGTTTAGTTTGGTTGACAACAAATTTTGTTTGCGGTGGAAGCGGCAATCAGGCAAGGCATAATGGGACTTTCACGTTGCTCTGTCGGTGGAACGGAACAGCAGGACCAACAACAAAGGAACATTCAACTTGAGACTTTGAGTAGTCAGATTGGATTTAGCGGTATCTACTTGTGCGAGTAAAGCTTACGACTGAAAGCTTCGTAGAGATTTCTTGTGACGGTCAAAGGCAATACGCACACCGTGTTGATAAATAACAGAGGCCACCCCAGCTGCTACTCGGATTTAAGTGGAGGGCTTTGTCGGCTTCTTTTTTGGACGTTCACCGGTTGACTTGTTGACTTGCCTTCTCATGGCATCCGGGGTCCAAGAAAGAAGAAAGCAATAATTGCTACCTGTAATCGTGCCGCTCTTGCCCTGTCCAACCACAAGGTAGAGACTAGCTAGAGCCGTAGAGCTGTCCAAAGACACTTGTCAAGAATCACTCCGATGGAGCACCGATAAATGGTTCAAGGTATTAGCTAGTCTATTATTGCCAGGTTCATTCTGCTAAGTCTGGACCCAGGACCTCGTCTGGCACGCTGAACCGAGTCCTCGAAACAGTCTTCAAAACCTACTAGCTAGTACCTGCATGGTTGGGTGATAATGAGAGATACATTGACTGGGAAGCCGCATCTCGTCTCTGGTTCATCTCAACGCCTTGGGGCTACCGTAGCTAGTCTAAAGACAACCTGAATGGAATACTGCATCAGTCCTCCACCCCTCCAATAACGTTGACATTGCTCAAAATTGGCGTAGGGCACCACAAATTGGGTGCTTCATCAAAGACACGAGGAGGACTCATGGCAAGCCCAGACCAGCCAGGTCGAAACGTAGCGTCCATGAAACTCATTCAACCGAGCTATGAAAATACAGCACAAGCTGCACCAGTGAAGGAATCGCGGTGTCTTTCATTCAAGTGAAGAATACTACCCCTCAAGACACTCTACTAGCTCTACCTCTAGCTCAAACCATGCCCCCCAAGCAGGAAGCAAGAACCCGTACTAGCATCCTGTATAGATTACCTTCCAGGGCCACTCTAAATCATCCCCTGATACTACAGATCCAGCAGAGACATACCGTAGCATCCTGGATTCAGCCCATTGGGATCAACGCTCCTCAAGAAAAAGAGGGACCATGGCGCCTTCCAGCGGCAATCTTCCACATAGGCAAGCGGGCTCGACAGCAGCACCGTCTAGGTTAAGCAATCAACTGTCTGTATGAATACCCTCGAAGGTTTGGCATCCACGTGCTGTACCTTCGAAAACAAAGAAACGACCAACCATGGCGACTTCTAGCTAGCTAGCAGCGGAGAATCCAACCCAAACTCCATCAAAACAAGGCAAAGCAACGAAATGTACAGTACCAATGCTTCCTCCCAGAAATCAGTCATTGCCACACAGAAAAGCACGATGATGGGTTACGTTCCTACCAATCGAAACGCTACCCAGGAGACGTCTATCCCCAAATCGTCAAACTCAGGCTAGCCACGGAGCCTTCAGGACCGTCCGACGGTTTTCACTCAGGATTTAAAAAGCTTCCACGACTGACAAAAAACTTGACCAGCACAATTAAGGGATTGTTTCTTAAGGGATTGTTTAAGGGAGAATCAAAGATTTAAGGGACTGTTGTTAAGGGATTGTTTATTTAAGGGATTGTTTAGGGGATAGTTGAAGAAATAGGGGATAGTTGTATGGTATTTCCATTTGGCGTTAAGGGATTGTTTAGGGGATAGTCCAAGATTAAAGGGATTGTTTTAAGGGATTGTTTCTTTAAGGGATTGTTTAAGGGATAGTTGATGAGTTAAGGGATTGTTTAAGGGATTGTTTTAAACGGTCAGTCAGTCATGGCAATTTCAAGATTTTTTAAATCCTGTGTGAAAACCGTCGGACGGTCCAGCACAGCAACAAATACTATAGAACACATAACAACTCTCTCAGACGACGGAGACAAAGAGAATAAGCGGGAGACAGCTCATTAAATTTACGTGGGTACGTACCGTAACGTACACACCGTACAGCACGGCACCGCTAGCTAGAGCTAATAGAGCTACTAATTGTGCTCCTGCCGTACTTCCTTGCAATCCATAGCTCTGAGGGTTTAACTGGAGGTTAGAAACAATTATGAGCTATTGGCTTTGGTGGTTTCTGTCCCCGAACGGCAGTTGGCATTGGTAATTGCCGTTAGAGGATCTGCTGGATCTACATCTAAGTGTCGGTCCCGCGAGCTGTGGGCAGTCATACTGGTTGGCTTTGTGGGACGTGCTTCTGGTGGATATAAGGGTCAATGTCGCAGAGTGACTGGGACTTTAACACACCCTCGCACAAGGAGTACAGAGTTGTGTTGATGTGGATGTTGTTTGTGTGATTGGCTTGGGAAGGCATTGTGGAGCTGTGTGCTGTCAAGTTCATATAGTCTAGGTAGGTTGGTCGCATTCGTTGGTGATGCTTTGCTGGGTGGTGTTTGGATGGGTAGTCGGCAAGATTGAGGGAGCCAGGTTGCCAGTAGACTGTGTACTGTTTTGGGTTGACTCTGTCTTGTAGCCAGTAGAGGCGCATATCAGGACCTCTGTGGAAAATTCGAATCGTGCTAATAATCTTCTCTTAAATCCTTTGATCGTCTCCTAATTAAAAGCAATCGTCTCCTATAAATGATCCGGATCATCTCCTAAATCTTTTAAAGTCTCTTCAATCGTCTCCTGTTTTCAACGGATCGTCTCCTATTCCCAACGGATCGTCTCCTAAGTGTACCATGTAAACTGTATGGTATCGTCTCCTAAATCTTTCGGATCGTCTCCTATTTCGAAATGATCGTCTCCTAATTGGAATGTCTCCTACTGAATCATCTCCTAAATATAGGAGACGATTGCTTTCGTCTCTTAAATCATTTCGATAGTCTCCTATGCCTCGGTGTATCGTCTCCTAAGTATTTTGCCACATATGACGTTTCCACAGAGGTCCAGTGGCCTTTGAGCGTTTCTGCTTCACGGTGTCCTTCATTGTTAGTTGCTCTAAGCTCTCTTCTAGTTGTTACTGTTGCTATTGAGATACCACTGAAAAAGTGGGTGGGTTACCAGCTTTTGCTACTGGCATCAAATTCTAGTACAGAGGTACAGGTTGAATCCCTAATCGCGAATCCCCAACACACTCCTGTGGTCGTCGAGCTTGTCCTAGTCGTCGACCATGCTTACTTACTTACTCCGCTTAGCGCTCCTTCTTTGAACGGACCTTCTTGTCCGACCGTGACCCTCCTTCTGAGTGCCCTGGCTCTGAGTGTTCCACAACACCCATCAACTTGTCCACATTCTGTTTGAACAGTCGACCTTGGTTCGGCTTCGTCCAGAAGTCCGCAACCATATCATCAGTTGGACACCAGTCCACACTGATCTCCTTCTTTGCGACTCTGTCGCTCACAAAGAAGTATCTAATGTTGATGTGCTTCGTTCGCTTGCTACTAGAAGCTTTGCCATTCTTTTCTAGAAGGATGGCACTCTTGTTGTCCTGATAGACTATAGTTTCTTTAACTACAAAGCCTTGCTCCCGTAGGAACTGCCTCGTCCAAAGGATTGATGGCATCAGGTCATCAACTGCCACGAATTCGCTCTCAGTCGAGCTTCTCGTGTTCAACTTCTTTTTCGTTGAAGTCGATAATGGGTAACCAGTGCCCATGGTCAAACCACCTCCGGTATGACCACTCATGTTTGGATGGACTGCGAAAGAACCATCAACATACCATTTCAATATGCCACTTCCGTCGGCTTTGAGAACTAATGGTAGTTTTCTAGTACGTCTAATGTACTGCATGAGGTGGACTAGTTTATCCCAATCTTGCCCATCTGGTTCCTTGACTCTAGTCGTGAGGAACGATATCGCCGTACTTGTGGCTGGTCGGGCTCTCTTCGTAGCGAATAACACCTTAGCCACCAGGCTGTGAAAGGTGTCTGCCTTGCTCGTTGGGAGTTTTTTGCAGGATTCGTCTACTATGAATAGGTCTTTCGGGGCTGCACTAATTCTAGTTTTCGTGCCCCCTTCCTCTGGCGATGCCTTCTCGAAGGCTTCCAGGACTTTCCGCGGCTCACCATCATCTCTCCAGTGATGTCCTCGAATATGCTTTCGTATTCATCACGAAGCACTTGGATCAGCTGGTCGTTAACCTTCGAGTCCTTGTGGCTAAGCTTACAGTCGTCTACATGCCAGCAGACTGTTTGTTGCTTGCCGTGTACCATTCTGTTGGCTACACATGGGTCGTAAGGATTAATCTTAAATCCGTTCCGGACCATCGTCTTCCGGAACTTACGGTAGTATAGTAGGCTAGCTACCATGGTGCCGTAGATGGCATTCAAGCATTGCAGTAGCAACTGCTTGTTGCCTTTCTTATCCGTTGTCACGAACGGTTTGTAGACATCTGGGGCTATTTCACACAGCATGTCTACTAGTACTCCTCTTACTCTAATGATTACCATATCTTTTTCATCCTCGACTCGTGTCTGGATGAAGGCGTTCGGAATGTCAATTACTGCCACATCCCTTTCCTCTTCAGCGTCGATTATGCAGGAGAGTAGCACTGCTTCTGTCGACACTGTTGGCGAGCTTGCGTGTTCCTTGGAGATGAAGTCACGCTGTTCGTTGCCTCCGGCAACCGCTCGGCCTTTGATCTTCCCGTTCCTTTTCAACTTTAGGAACAGGTGTGACTCTAGGATACTCTTGCGTTCCATATCGCTGAGGTCTTCCATTTTCTTCGGACGGAAGGTATCCCTGAGATGTAACTGTTTCATCTCGGCAAAGGCTGCATCGTGCGCTTTGTCCTTCCACTCCTTGAGTCCAGCCTTCAATGACAATTGTGTCATGATGGCTG